TGTGTGTGTATAAACTGTAGAAAGACTAGGAACACTGAATCATACACAAAGCTGAGAGATTTCTTTTATCTCTTAATGAATTAGTTTCGGGGGGGGTAATGTACTGTCATAACTTGTTGGCCATCACACTTGCTGCTTATACTGGTACAGATGCAACATACTGATCACAGAGTCCACCTGCTAAACTGAACCACTGCCCCACAGACATCAAATTTCAGTTTAGGCCGGGTGCAGTGGCTCACACCTGTAATCTTAGCACTTGGGAGGCCAAGGTGGCAGGATTGCTTGAGGCCAGGAGTTTGAGATCAGCCTGAGCAAGAGAGAGACCCTGTCTCCACAAAAAATAGATAAATTAGTTGGGTGTGGGCCGGGCGCGGTGGCTCACGCCTGTAATCCTAGCACTTTGGGAGGCCGAGGCGGGCGGATTACTCAAGGTCAGGAGTTCGAAACCAGCCTGAGCGAGACCCTGTCTCTACCAAAAATAGAAATAAATTAATTGACCAACTAAAAATATATATACAAAAAATTAGCCGGGCATGGCGGCGCATGCCTGTAGTCCAGCTACTCGGGAGGCTGAGGCAGTAGAATCGCTGAGCCCGCGAGATTGAGGTGCTGTGAGCCAGGCTGACGCCACGGCACTCACTCTAGCCTGGGCAACAAAGTGAGACTCTGTCTCAAAAAAAAAAAAAAAAAAAAAAAAAATTAGTTGGGTGTGGTAGAGCACACCTACAGTCCCAGTTACTCAAAAAAAAAAAAAAACCAAAACAAACAAAAAAACCAACAAAACCAAGAAAAACCCTAAACAGACAAAAAAATAAAGTTGCTTTTCTTTAAATGGAAAATAATTTCATTACTGATTTCTTCTGTTGCATTTATTTATTTCAAAAACTTCTGAAATGTTTTATCTTTAGATAACAGTTAATATGTTTTTTAGTAATATACCTATTTTTAGCATTATTCATATTTGAAAATTATTAGTACAGAAAATGTCAAATTAAACTGAAAAAAAATTTTTTTGAGACATAGTCTTGTCTGTCACCCTAGCAATGACATCATCATAGCTCACTACAACTTCAAAGTCCTGAACTCAAGCAATCCTCCCACCTCAGCCTCCCAAGTAGCTGGGACTATAGGAGTGAACCACTTCACCCAGCCAAGAAGAGTAATTTTAAAATAAACTGTTAATAGTATTTATAAAAGTCATAAATAACATTCATCAGACTTTTTTTTTTTTTTTGAGACAGGGTCTCACTCTGTTGCCCAGGTAGAGTGAGTGCCATGGCGTCAGCCTAGCTCACAGCAACCTCAAACTCCTGGGCTCAAGCAGTCGCCCTGCCTCAGCCTCCCGAGTAGCTGGGACTACAGGCATGCGCCACCATGCCCGGCTAATTTTTTCTATATATATTAGTTGGCCAATTAATTTCTTTCTATTTATAGTAGAGACGGGGTCTTGCTCTTGCTCAGGCTGGTTTTGAACTCCTGACCTCGAGCAATCCGCCCGCCTCGGCCTCCCGGAATGCTAGGATTACAGGCGTGAGCCACCGCGCCCGCTCATCAGACATTTTTAATAGGCATTTCAGAAAAATCTTAATAATGTGGTTAACCATTAATTCCATTAGGACTTTTCAGTAATAAATCTAAATAATGTGTAATATGTCTCTTATATCAGCAGTTCAATATCAATTCTTTAAAATACAAGAAATAAACTTTATAGAAAAAGATACCATATTTTTAAACATAATAACTATACGTTTGTCAACTTTGTAATCTAGTCTAGGTTAGTTTTTCCCTTGATGTCATTCATTTAATAACCATTTATTTTTAAAGTATTGGTAAAACATAGTACTAAGCACTAGGGATATAAGCATTACTAAGACACAACTTTTTCTTCAAAAAGCCCAGCATTCATACATAGAAACCTGAACACAGTTCCATATGATATGAAGGCACTATACCCAAAGTGCTAGCGGAGCATTAGTACTTGGTTCAGCATGAGGGTTTCAAGAAAACTACTTATTAATCCTACGATAGATAATAATAGCATTAAAATTCTAGAAACCATTATTTTGGATAAATCTGCAGGCCAAAAAAAATTGATCCCCTAAATTTTTCATTGAAAGGTCAATATAAACTTTGCTCAGAAATGACTACCACAATCTAATTATATCAGAATGTCTGGAGGACTAGAGCCCAGGCACCAGTATTTGTAAAAGCTGCCCAGGTAACTATGACACTTATGTCATAGCATCATGACTGATTTAAGCTTAGAATCCTATCAACATAAAGACAGAGTCCTGAGGCCGGATTAGTGAACAATAGGATTGGTCTCTAAGGGGATCCATGTTCTGAGATTATTTTCACTGTATTTTCATTTGCAATCTACTTTTTGGTATGTGTTCATAACATAAAAGATAAAATTTCATGTATCACATGGCACTTCTGGCATAAGCCAAGAAAATAAAGTGATTGCCAATCCTCAACACTGTATACCGACTAAAATGTCTAATTTTTAAAACTTTACTCTTTAAAGCCAGAACAACTAGAGACTGTTGAAATTATACACTTTGGGTATGTGAAGACTAAGTCCTGCTAGGGTCACTTTTACCATCTATTTTAAAGAAAAACATCTGCATACATGCATTTAGAGAACAATGAAACTAGCACATAAAGAGTGCTCATCTTATGATACACACTAAATTCTACAGAAATGACAGGAAGGTAGAGATAAAAGTGAGCTGCAGTGATGAGGCAGATTCTCATGAACGAAGAAGACCTGAGTGGGACTGCCAGGCTTGGATTAAAACGGTAGAGAGAAGCACTCTAGCAGTCTTGGGAGGAAGAAGGTGTAATAAGGAACAGCATGGTGAAGACTAAAAAAATCATGGTAATCTGTAAAGGCACTGAGGAAACACCAGAGTCTCCTTAAAGATCAACACTGGATAAATGACAGGTTGAGGAGTTTGAACTTAATCTTGGTGAAAAACCAGGTTACACTTCAGTTTAATATAAAAAATTATCTTAGATTGATATGCAGGATGCACTAAAATTCAGGAATCTGGGATAGAAGAGAACATGTCAGCATTTTTCAAGCACAGTTCCCTGAATATAACAGGCATTTAAAAATTGTGAAGGTTTTAAAAAACGAACACACACAGCACACTATAAACATTAGTATCACTCTGAACTTAAGGTCAAATAATTTTATAAGTCAAATAATTGATAAGGTTTGTTAGCTCTTAAATATTAAGTATTACTATAAAGTTTATAGAAGGAAAAATAGTAAATTATCAAACAGATTATATATCCATTAATGCTTCTTTACAGAAAGAGGCAATAGTCAAACATTTTTCTCTGAAGAATTACTTATATACTTTAAATCTAATGAAAATAAATAAATAATTAAGACAAGATTTAAATATTCTTTCTCCTTAAAATGAATATTAATGCCAAAATAGATGTTTTGGGGCCTTTCTAAACCAAAACAAAACAAAACACCATTATCTGGTATAAAAGATGGCTGCTGGAGGTTTTGGAAAGACAATTATTCTTAGGTTTCCTGACCTTGGAGTAAAGTACACAATAATCCTAAAAACTATAGGTAATACATACTTTATAGCTAAAAATTTGACTTCTCATTATAATTATGAATAACCATTATTAAAGAAACATTAGAATTTAGAGAAGATAAGTAAATAAGATAATGTCACCAAAGACACAAGCAGATGAAAAATGTTTTCCACACTAAACCAAACCTTCACCCTCCCCAAATATTTTTAATTAAGAATTTATCAGTATAAAAATTGTACTTGTAGTATAAAAATATATGCTATGGAAATTAACATTGTAGTAAGGTATTTTTTAATTTAAATATAAAAACAATTGGAATTAAGTCCATACTGATTGAGTATAATCAATATTGTTTATACTTGTTCTTACAAGACATACAGCCCCTTCTCCTTCATTCAAAATATTAACATATGTATCAAAAATATATATTTCTTATACACTGTTCTTTAATTATGGATTTTCATTATGTTACTATGGCTTTTCCACATCAAGATAAAATTAAACTATTTTAGTCAGGTTAACTTATACTGAAGTTAATATTCTGTATGCAAAGATTAGGGTCTTATGCTCTTCACTTATTAAGTGTGGAGAAAGTTAACAGTTTAAAATATGTAAGGGCTTGTATTTGCAAGCAAGTCTTTCAAATGCTTTTTAATTTATAAAATAGAACCAGTAACTAAACTGATTTTCACATACAAAAAACATAAAAAGAACAAGTAGCTAACACCAGAAAACCTCTAAAAAATACTATCACATTTGAAATAACCCCAAACTGTGGCTATCTTCCTAAATCTTACATTAAGAATGAACCATAATATTCAAATTAGTCATTTTAATTTCATCCATTTGCCAACAAAATAACCCAAACCTTAGTAATCTATTTTTCTTGTGATGCAGTAATCCTTTTCTTTAAATTGGATTATCAAAATAATTTTTAAATAATATGAAATCAATCGTATATCTCATATGAAATTCTAGAGGTTTGCAATTCTCTCAATGAAAATATAAGGGCCTCAACATAAGACACTTTGATAATACTGGATAATATTAGGTAATATCGACTACTATAACTGATCTACAAGAAATTCTGTTCATTATAGGAAAAATGTCAAGCAAGCCATTTTATGAGTTTATATAATATAATATAAACTGCCACAGTTCCTTTGGAAAAAAGATTTACTTTTGGAAGCAGAAGAACTCAAGAACGCAAAATCATGTTACCCAAACCTGCACCTTCCCTGCACCCCTGAAACAAAAACCTGTTAACAAAAGTTTACAGGAAGGTTTGATTAAAAGGAAAAAAGAGTATAATCTGCTAGATGAAAAACAGTGAAAGGGCTATCAGAGTCTTTTCTAAAAAATGGTTGAATCTGAATTATTTCAAATCAAAACAGAGACCATGACCAGTTAGGCTGTAACAACACATGACTTACAGAGCACGGCTACAGCCCCAGACTCGAACATGAGACATTCTTCCTTATGCCTAGTTTCCACTATGAGGCTGAAAGGTGGGGGGTCCAATTTGTGATAGATCCGAAATCCTTTGCTGAACGCCATTCTCCTTTCTTCAGAGGCAGCCCTGTGAAAATCAAGCAAACCAAAGCAAATCAAGCCGGTGTTTCCTTCTGCAGCGAGGACTGCAAGGCATCCAGAAGTCCCTCCCTGCCAGGTTTTGATGGGGGTGAGGTGGGGTGGAAAAAAGGGAGATCAGGAAGAGAATGGTTTATTCCAAAAGATAAGTCGTCACTTAATTTTATCAGAAAGCAAGAGGAAAAGCTACCAATTCTCACGAAAAAGCAAGACAAGGTTTGGCACTGTTATATCCATGAACGGTTTGTTTAAGATGAGTTTCCCGTTTAATTTATGTTTACTGAAAGGAAAAATCTGGAGCGTATTTCGTTCGGAGTTGTTTATCAGCCTCTTGCTTCGAGATTTGTCACTGCGTTGAAAGGGAATCGATTCGGAAACTTTAAGCCGTTCCCTTTGGGGGTAAAGGAAAGGAGGTGGGAGGAAAGGTTAACAAGCCTGGTTCAAAGCTCCTTAGGGGGCAGGAGGAGGGCAAGGATTATCCACGACAGGCTCTCCCTGGGGCGGCAACGAAGGGCAAGGGAAGCCGCACAGGTTACCGCCGGCCGGGGGGACGGCAGGTGGAGCCGATAAATATGAATGGCCACCCAGGAAGAGTGACCACTCCGGGAACAGACCCGACTGAGGGTCCTCGGGGGTCCCGAGGAGTCAACCTCCCAGGGGGTCGAAGGCGCCGAGTAGCCCAACCCCTCCATTATGCACCAGAAGAGAAGCCCCGACACCCAGAAGGACTCGGTTCCTTCTTGCCTGCAAGCTGACAGCCGCTGTCACCACAGCCCCTGGCCCGACGCGGCGCCCCTCACAGCCCGTGGTCTCCTCACAGCCCCGCCCGGCCGGCCGCCCACACCCGGGCCGCCCGCGGTCGCTCCTCACCGCTCCCGCTGAGGCTGCGGCGGCGGAGACTGCCTCAGGAAGCGCCCGCCTGACTGCCGGTGGGTCTGGCCGCAGCCGCTCCCCGCCCCCCGCCGGCTTGCTCACCTCTTCTTCCGGCTCCTCCTCCTCCTCCTGCAGCCGCCGCCGCCACAGCCGCCGGAAGCGTCACTTCCGCTCCAACAAGCCCATCTCTTCCGCATTGCGCCGCGGCTGAGGGCGGAAGACCCGCCCTTCGCGGGGAGTGGGCGGGTCGTGAGGAGGGAGGTTCCGCCCACTCTGGTCGGCCAGAAGGTGTCTGGCTTCTGCCGGCTGCCGCCGCCTCCACCTGGGCGAGCTTCGCCTCCGGTGGCGTGTCCTCCCGGCCGCGGCTGCAGGTCCCACCGCCGGGGATGCCGGGAGAGGGAGGATCCGGCCTCCCTGGCCCCGTCGCGTGGGCTCTGGAGAGCGTGAGCGCCGGGGAGGGACTCCGGGGAGAAGCTGTGGGGGCCGGGTGTCGATACGTGCCCGGCCGCGCGTCGGGACCACCCCCTGCCGCCTCCACCGGCTGGACCGGCGAGGGGAGGGCTCGGGACGGTCGGCAGGCCGGGCCAACCGGGTGGCGCCTGAAGAGCTGTCCATGGTGTCGCGCAGCGAAGCGCGCCGAGTTCTTAGTCTGAGCTTCTGGGTAGGCAGCAGGAAGAAAAACTAATGCCTGCTTTGGAGCAGTTGTGTTCGCTCCCTTTTCTTCGTGCGTGTTCGGGAGCTGTCGGGAGTGCGGTAGGAGAGAGTGCACAGCTGTACACACGACGGAGAGTGGGAAGTCACAAACCAGGCTCTCAGGGCTCAGACAAAACATGGCTGCACCCAGGCCCAGGCAATTGTGGTTGTCGCTGAATGACGGGTAGCGTTTGCCAGCCGTGGAATTTAGTAACTAAAGGCATCTAGCCCGTTTATCTCATCTTCATTTTCAGCAAATCGTGCTTTGCTGGCTAGTATCAGTGTGTCCCGTAGACTTCTCTTCCTGATTCCATTTAAGAGACCTAAATGGAATGAGAATGAAGTCAAAGCCAACAGGGCAGAAAGGAATTGAAAACCTGAAGAACCCAGCACTCTGAGAAACTGTTTCCACTTGCCTTTGCTTTTTCTTCACCTCTTCCCCTTCTTGCTTTTATTTAAACAGCAAAAGCAGAATTTAAATTTGGTATGTTGCACAAAATCATTTCCTCCTTCAGACCCTGGCATGTGACTTGATTTAACATTTCTTCATCCATTTTAGAGAAGCTGGACCCACCCTGGTTTCAGGACACTAACATAGCTATAAATAATTAGAAAAGAAGCCACTTCCAAGGCAAGAGAAATGAAAAGATACTTGGATGTAGTCCTGAGAACTGGAAGAGATTTCTCTCTCATTAAGTACTGTTTTCTTTAAAAAAAAAAAAAACAAAAAAAAAACTTTTGCTCTTGGTAGTGGCTACCAACAACAGCCTCAAAATTAAGCTAATATTGAAATAATCTACTCATTCATGGTTACTCATTTTTTTTCTTTCCAGAAGAGCCCATTGCAATTGGGGATTACATTTGACAAAGAAAACTAAATGGGAGTGGAGGAGAATGGAATTTTTTTTTTTTAATTTTTCTTTTTTTTTTTTTTTCAAAAAAAAAAAAAAAAAAACTGTTTTGCTCTTGGTAGTGGCTACCAACAACAGCCTCAAAGTTAAGCTAATATTGAAATAATCTATTCATTCATGGTTACTCATTTTTTTTCTTTCCAGAAGAGCCCATTGCAATTGAGGATTACATTTGACAAAGAAAACTAAATAGGAGTGGAGGAGAATGGAATTTTTCTTTTTTTTTTTTTTTTTTTGAGACAGAGTCTCACTGTGTTGCTCAGGCTAGGGTGCAGCGGCATCAGCCTAGCTCACAGCAACCTCAAACTCCCGGGCTCAAGCGATCCTCCTGCCTCAGCCTCCCAAGTAGCTGGGACTACAGGCACATGCCATTGCCCCCGGCTAATTTTTTCTATTTTTAGTTGTTTGGCTAATTTCTTTCTATTTATAGTAGAGACAGGATCTCACTCTTGCCCAGACTGGTCTCGAACTCCTGACCTCAAGCAATCCTCCTGCCTCGGCCTCCCAAGTGCTAGGATTACAGGCATGAGCCACCATGCCTGGCTTGGAATTTTTCTTAGTTGCTGGCTCAGGTATAATGTCTCTATAGTCCAGTTATGCACAGGGCCAAGGGATGGGGGAAGGAAGGCAATGGCTCCAGGAGAGATGCTGATGTTATCAAACTCATTACTTGGGAGATACCTTTTATGACAACTGAAATCACTCAGTTTCAAACAGAGTTGGGACCTGAAACCAAACTTGCTTACCATAAAGCCCAAGATTTTTTCCACCACGCCTGTGTCTGAGGCTACACTTGAAACCCCTCCTTTCTCAGACAGAGAAACATAGGTAGTGGGCTCTTCTAGAAACAAGTGCTCTGCCTGTTCCTGGTTCCTTTTGACTTTGGACTAAGGAGATTGCAGTCCAAGTTTCTGGGTTCTGCATTGTAATTACTGATTCCTCAAATTAAACTTGGGGTTAGCAGGACTCTTATTACTAGAGTTATTAGAAGGCCACAGCCTTTCCAAATCCTTTAGATCACTTCAGTCATGAAATAAGCACATGCCCAGGGTTTGAAAAACATAAAGGTTATATTACTAGTGGCTTTTAAAATGTTATTTCTTCTTTTTCTTGTCCCTCTTTCTTATTTATACTTCTACTTTTGTTTGTTACAGCACTTAAAAATAGCTGGACAAATTTTCACCAAACTTTAAGTGTCTTTCGGATGGGCTGACAAAATACAATTTAAGTAGCATACACAAACTTTCTGGTGAGATCCTAAGAGCCTGCAGAGACAGACCAACACTCTCTTGACCCTTGAAATTGAGTAATGAGGGGCCTATGGGAGGGTACAAATATTACCCCAAAAAGATATTCTCATCATAATTCCTGAATCTGTGAATGTTAATTTAGGTGGAAAAAAGTCTTTGCAGATATGATTGAGTTGAGGATTTGGGGATTATTTTGGATTATCTAGATGGGCCCTAAATGCAATACAAGTGTCCTTATAATAGGGAGGCAGTGGAAAATGAGAGAGAGAGAGAGAGGGAGAAAGGGAGGAGGAGAGAAAGAGATTGAAAGAAAATGAAAATGAATGTGAAAACAGAAGCAGAGATTGGAGCAATGTGGCCACTAGCCAAGGAATGTCAGCAGCCACCAGAAACTGGAAGAGATGAAGAAGGATTTGGGCCTATGGCCTTTGGAAGGAGCATGGCCCTACTGACCTTAATTTCCAACTTCTGGCCTCCAGAACTATAAGAGAATAAATTTCATTAATCTAGTGAGAGGCTTGTAAAAAATAAAAGAAATTAAAATAAATAAATAAATAAATAAATTTCTGTTGTTTTAAACCACCCAGTTTGTGATAATTTGTTACAGCAGCCACAGGAAACTAATACAAGGCTTATGTGACTTTCCATCAGGGGACAGACTGAGATCAGTAAAACAGCACCAGAAAGGTGTTTCGGATATCACATCCAATAAAACAAACTGTAGACAAATACCCTAATTTTTAGATGTTGATTGGTCAGCAAATTATTTATCCTATGGGCAACCCTGTATTATGTTGAAACATGCAATTGCCATTTCTGTAGGTAAAAAATATTCTCACATAGTGACAATATAAGGCCCACCTAATAGTATGTCACATGTAAACTATAGCAAGGATTTTTTTTATTTCGAAATGATTAATGGTTTCTCAATGACAAAAGAAACTATACCATATAGTACATGACTATGAATTTTGACAGATGTTTACCATGCAAATTAGTAGTAGGGCAAATTTTTCTGTATAGTCTGGCTTTTCTTATTAAAGATGCTAGAAATTGTGGCAAATCTGGGAAATATTAACAGTTTGATCCAGTAACCTTTACCAGCCTCCTTTCCGGTTGCACAGGCTACAGCTAAGGTTTATATCAGGATCAGGATCTGTAGAGATCTGTTAGTACATAGAAAAGGATGGCTCCTTGTTAAAGAGAAAACTGTGGTCTTGAAAGGCAAGACAGTAGGTAACAAATAGTGTTAGCTTTTTGCTTCAAATAAGTTCATTATAACCAGTGAAGGATAAGATTTTAAATTAGAAAAATGGAAATAATGTAAATAGGAAATCCAGTAAGTGCTTGAGAGCAAAATCATTGTGAGAAGAAAATCAAACAAAAATTCATAAACTGAAAAATTATTCACCAAAGACAGAAAATTGCAACCAAGGCAAATAGGGAATTTGTGAAAGACAAAACTAGAGCGTTTTCATTTTAATAAAACACAAGGATTCTCATGGAAATCAAAGTATCAGAGCCAGAAACAGGGCTCAGCCTTACTGAGATTAGAGCCACAGGATGTTTACTCTTCAGGCTGGCTCAGGGTCCCAAAGCAGGTAAGCCTTCAGCGTCAAAATGTTTTGCAAACTACTTTAAAATGGTTTCTGCAGGATTTGTCAAAAATTTTTCCCATTTACTATGTATTTTGAATTAACCATGGGAAATAATGTACATTTTCCTAAAGATACTTTTAAACAAGAGCCTAAGAATTGGAGTGCGAGGCATTCTCATTGTACTAGATGATTCTATCCTGTAAGCCTCTGCTAGAGTAAGGACTGACAGTGCAGAGGGAAAGCCAATACAAATTACTGGGGGCCGGGAGTCCAGAAACAGCCTAGGGGCCTATCTACATTGCACATCAATACCAATCCCATATAACAGCATTTTGCCTGTCTGCCTTTGCTGAGTGGTCTGAAGTGGCTCTCAGCAGCTGTGAACCTAGCATCCAGTTTCAGTTCTAGTGGGCAGTGTCCAAAGGTTTTGGACAATGACCAAGCCTTTACTGAAGTATAAGACCTCCCAAACATTCAGCCATATTTCATTGTTCTCACTATATGTCATTCTAGTGTTTGTCCTCATTTTCACTTACTTGAAACAGACCAAATGTCCTTTCTCATAGCTAGCAAATGGCAAGACTCCCTTTACTGTGGATATTACCATGTTAGAGAACCAGTAGAGTTCTCACCATGAAGAACACTACAACGTAGCAACGTACATTTTCATAGTGTACATTGTAGCTCTGTAACATTTGACAATTTTAATAAGGGTTTCATGATTTCAAGGGAAATTAGCATTTAAAACAAAATTATGCAATTGTCAAAACTCACTTAACTGTACACATGATGGCAAACTTAAATGTTTATAAATTATACCATAATATATCTGACTTCAAAAAACAAACTTAGGAAATTGTACATTTTAATATATTCTAAGGAAGGTTCTTGCCATAAGACTTGTGCAAACTTTTGGCCAATTCTGGGTACTGATAGGTTACCACAGCAGGAAACTATGGCTCAAATCAACTGAAGACCTCTGGAAGGGGATATGGACTGCACCTGTTTCCTACCTGAGACATTAGTAAGTTACGATTGGTGGCCATGAAATTGGGCCTCTTAGATCTCGTATCAATCAATATAAGGTTATACCAGGCTGTGCTCTCCCAAAGCTGCTTCCCACCAATGGCCAAGAGGTAGCGATACAAAGGCTGGCCCACTCTGGAGACTTTGGGTTGAGAGCTGCCTCTCAGCCTTGCTGAAATTTTTTCAGAAATGCACCAAATGTCTAAGACCTTCATTCGTCCCCTCTCCTTCACACAGGTCAGGCCCACCTGCATCATAGTCTGACAGCTCTTCCAGCCACCTCTCCATTTTCCCCTATAGGCATTTTCCCCAATAAATTACTTATGTATCTAATGCCATCTCAGTGTTCCTTGAGGGAACTGGACTGATACACTATGGTTATTTGTCCTCCAAGACCTTTCCTTCTTTGGCTGAGGTCTGCCCCAGGGACAGTATCTTGATGATGATACTCTACCCTGCAGAGCAGGCCAAGAGAAAAGCCCTCAGGCAGAGGAGCAGGTGCTTGCAATAGGACAACAGTAGCATGAACAGGGATAAGGTGACATCATTGGCTGTAATAGTATTAATCACTCCTTATGAATATTTTATACTGTTACAATAAAACAACTTTCCTTTTAAAAAACCTTTCTCACCTATTTTGGAGTTAATTCTGATAATTACCCCAAGAGAAAAGAATAAAAAGGAAAACTTCAGTTTTATCAAAATGTAACCCTCTGAATTTACTTTTTGACAATTCCCTTCATAAGAAATGGTATTCTTTAGCTATTTCAGGAATAATACTTTCTTGCTGAGAAATGAAAACCACTTGTTTATGTAGTTTTATGTTAAATTCACCTTACATCAAATTTCTAGTGCAGATTCAAACCCATTCCCGAAACCCTAATAGCCTGCTCAATTTCATATGATAAAAAGTCCAACTTTATTGTAAAAGTTCTTAAAAGAAGATATAGGAAGAGTCATCAGTCTAATGAGTTTGGAAACACATAGGCCAAAATAACCTGCATATGATATATATGCATGTTTTTATATTTTATTCCACTAATGATAAGAATACATGTTCTAATTTTATTTCTACTTAGTAGGGTACTAAGGTGTAACAAAAAATTCATCCAGAATGACTACGTAGGGATAAGATAAAATTGATGGAGCAAACAGAATACATGACACTATTCTAAATATTGTTTGTCTTGACCAAGAAAGCGTACACATGGATGGGCTAATAATCTCACTTTGTGCTGTAAAATTAGTCACCAGGCAAATACAACAAAGAATATATTTAAAAATTAATTTAATGCTTGGCTAAAGCTTAATTACATATATAATTATCAAACAATAGTCCTTAATTTCCAAAAAGTTCTTCTTTTGAAAATCACAGAATCAGAAAGCATAAACTTTAAAACAAGTTCTTTGAATATTTACAATGTGGTATAAACGTTATAGAAGACCATGGATATTAAATTGCCTGGGTGTGAATCAGCAAGGCGTATTCTTTATTGCATATATAACTCACATATGTGGGATTTTAAATATAATGACAGACTACTAAAATTCAAATGCATGTATCTGTAAGCTGGGCAGGGAATAAAATCATGAATGAGACAGGATAGTCAGCCCAAAACCATGCAATTAGGTTGTGGGTTTGTTATTTTCAAAAATTAAACTGCTATGTTCCATTTGAAACTATGTTGCACATGTCATTTAGCGGTCACATTAAACCCATTTAACTCTAATGCCGATTCAGGAAGAATGTTCAACATTCACTCAATGACTAAGTCCACAACTCAGCTCTCAATTTTAAGGCAGCACAGCTACAGTGATAGCAACGCTAACCAAAAGGTGATGAACATCTAGTCACTTGCCAGCCCTTTTGTTGCAACAGTGTAGTAATTTCCCTAAGACAATTTGCTACTGGATAATTTTCTGCTGTTAAAAGGCTTCCTCTGTAAAAAAACACCACAAATTTCCAGTGTGAAAGTAAGTCCATGGTGATATAAATATATATATATATATGCATAATTACATAATTTACACTGCACACATCGTTTACAGAGGACAATTAACTGAGAGGGTTAATTTGAATGACCATACAAAATACTTCTGTAAACAAAGTATGACAGGCAGTAAAGAAAACATTCATTGACTCCTAGAAATAATCTGAATTCCTTTCATTCTGAAGAAATTGCATTTAAGGACAGAGTATTGAATATAATGTTTTTTGTATTAAAACAAGAATCAATATTTTACAGTTTAAGAAACTTTACATATATACAAAATTTATACATTGGGAATGGTACTAGAGCAAATAGGCCTTTCGGTCTCAGATCTATTTTCCTTCAATCAAAGACTTAAATTCTTTCACATTGTGGTCACTTGCAACAGACATAGCATGATCCAAAGCTCGAACACTTGCAAGGAGTTTTACTATCTGTTTTATGTTTTCCCTAAAAGAGAAAAAAATATAGCAGCATGTCATTAATCAGTACATTTAAGGGAAAATTCGTTACTGACTTTATGATCATTTTAGAGACTTTGCAATCAAATTTTCTGAGCATACATTTTTTAAAAAAGGAAACAGAGATGCAAGCTACAGCATGTAAAAAAAAGTTGATATGTATCCATGTAAAACAAAACATATGTTTAAACAACTAGCCCTGAAACAGTGGACTCATTTTTAAAAATGAAACAAAACAATTCATTCAAATCAATCACTTTCATTAATAACTATAAAGAAAAGTAATTTGCAAACTACTTCAGAGTCCTGTCTCCCAATCCTTCCCAAACCAGCTTTTGAAGTATACCTAGAACACAAATAATATTTGTGTGTCTTCATCATCAATCCATCCAAATCCAGCTTAAATTCTACTCCTCCAAAAATTCACAAAATATAGCATAATCTGGTATTCCTTATGATCCCAACCAGATGTCTTTCTGCCGTATGATGAAATGAACCTCAAATTTCAGCACACATCAGAATTACCTAGAGGGCTGGTGAAGCACAGATCGCCCACAGCCCCACCCCAGAGTTCTAATTTCGCAGGCCTGTGGTAGGGCCTGATAATCTGCACCTCTCACAAGCTCCCAGGCCACGCTGCTGCTACTCTTCAGGGACCACACTTTTAAGATAAGAATGACTGTTTTAATCATCGCTCATGAGAAACAACACACAACGTGACATTATTAATTGTCTTCTCTCCTCTAAAAAATTGTAGTAAGAACCTTTTAGGGAAGGATTATAACTTGCAAAATTTTGCAACCCACATGAAATCTACTTTATATGCATACCAGACCAGAGTGGGTGATTAAATAGCTGCTGAAGTTCTTTTCTGCAGAAAAGTAAATTGTTTGTTGATATTTAACTCCCCAAACAAAAATACTGCTAAATATATGTAAATCAAAGTTTAAAATCTTATAAAATTTATCAAGTATAAAACAACACACTGGGAAAAAATATTAGTGCCAAGAAATAACAACCAGAATGATAAACACTAAGAACAAAATTAAAACATAAACCAAAATCACCTATCAAAGAATTCTACCATTAAAATCTTTACCATCTACTTTGCTTTTAATTTTATTGTGGAAGACAGCAAATTTTCTGACAAAATAAGGTTCTTTTCAAGAAAGGGAAATGAGGTAATAGAAAAATGTTTTGTTATAGAGGTACGACTAATGATGTGATCTAAACAAAAACTGAAACTTTTTGATTTTAGGAAGATACATGAAATCAAAACTTTAAAAAGGAAATGTTTTCAAACTGTACTAGTTATTATGATTTACTTTTTATGCTAGAGATTTATCCCAAAATTACATGAACATCCACAATATTAATGTCCACAGAAAGATAATGGTTCATTCATTCCTTATAAGCCTTGATAAACAGCATATTGAAAAAAGATAAATGAAAGATTATGTGCATTTTTGGTAGGATTATAATACTGAGTGAATGTACAATTTAAACTAAAGTATAAACATGTCTCTAACTTAAAACATCTTAATACAGAATCTGACGACAACTAAAGAAACTCTCGATTACCATGTCATCAAGTAATTACAAAAAATTACCTTGCATTTCTTTTTTCCACATCAGAGCACCCAATACTATTTCTATAAATTGTATCTGCTAAATGTACAAGGTATCGACAAAAGTTTTCTAACTGAGAAATAGTTCTTTCTCCTTTCAAATTCATGAACCACTGTTTGGGGAAACAATTGATTACCTATGGAGAAAAAAGATGCAAAATAAAATAGTTAAAACAGAATAAATGAAAGCATCTACCCTGACTTCAACACAATGCATTATATCAATGTAGCAAAATTATACTTGTACTGCATGAATACATATACATATAAAAATAAATGAAAAAAAATTAAATTATACAAAGAAAAGAAAGTATCAAAAAGCTAAGTCCAGATAATGGGCATAATGTATTTAACTAGAAGACTTGCTATTCAGCTATAAACTACTCTGAAGGGATATTTTTTAAACCTGACTTCTTAGATTAACTATACCAATATTCCTGAATTTTTACTCTACCTGATGGGTCAGGTACTCAAAGCAAAAGATAAGTAATTTGTCTGGTATTTAAGTAATTTGTCTGGTATTTAAGTAAATTAGTAACATAAAATGAATAACCAATTGCTTCATTTTCCAGCCTTCCAAGATGCCGGTAAATGAACTGAGTTCTCCTTTATCAGCAGCTTTTGATATAATAAATATGAAATTGTGACACCCCCCACAATAATTCCACGAACAGGCATCCATGCTAGTAGTGGCAGCTGAGCTGGCCCAGATTGAGGTTAAGATAATAAAGTTTTTATTATCTCAGAATTAAAACTTTTACTAAAACTAAAACTTTACTAATACCTAAAAAACATTAAAACTTTTATTAATATCTACAAAAATAATGATAGAGATACATGGATAGATATTACAGTATACATTTTACAGCATACATTTATACATTACAGTATAACATTTTTATGTGAAAAATGCTATGGGGATTTGGCATTACCTAAGTAAATTGATTATCAACCTTACACAAGTCTAATAATCAAAGGGGGTTACATAAAATTCCCAAATTTCTCTTCAAATAAAGAAAACTCAATTCATTGTATTTTATGTACTTTAAGAACTACACTGTATGTCATTTAACTCACATTTTGGGCTTTTTTGATGCTGTCATCTCCATATTCTGAATTCTGAAAAGCCATGAGAATGTATCTATTTAATAAGCCATCTATTGATAATTCCTGAAGAGTTTTATTTGAGAAAATGCCATACCACTGAAGAAAATTCCCTAATAGCTAGAAAGAAGGGGAAAAAAAAAAATCACAGAGGCAATGTTAAGCAATTCAATTTAGGTATAGAGTAAATAAATTACACAGTAAAACATCATATTAAATATAGTAGATAATGTTTTGCCAAAGTTCTAATAGGTACTTTCAAAGGTCCAAATATTTCCTAGAATTACTAAAGATTTAAATTTTAAATTTTACATTAGTTAAAATTTAAATAGACACACGAGGCTAGTAGCCATAATAACAATCAGCACAGTTGCAGAACATTTCCATCATTGTAGGCAGTACTACTGGGCAATGCTAATTCAGATAAAGTATCTCCTCCATTCAAAATTATGCCTAAGCTAGTCCTATGACCCCCTCCCAAAAGATGGGAGATTCTCTTTCTGACTACAACACTGTATGGCTAACAGATCTCATTAACCTGGACCACCCTATATCACTTGGACATCTCAAGCTATTCAAGCTCAATACATATATAAAATGAAAGCCATTATCATAAAATGGAAGGCCCAAAGCATCCTACCATAAAAATTTCCCAGTTATTTCCTAACACTATCTATCCAATTGCTCAGGCCAGAAGCCTGGATGTATTTCTGGACCTCTCCTTCAAGTTGTTTGAATCCACCGCCATCAAATCTGTCTGTTTCTCTTGGTTCCGGTTGCTACCCTCTAATCTGAGCTGCCATCATCTCTTTCTGAACCCTGCAGTCACTTCAGTGATTATGAGCAAGAACTCTGGAGTAGCCTTTCTCAAACAGAGTTCAGCAAGAGAAATAAATAAACCTACAGAAAATGATCTGAATAACTCTTTACTCAATTTCCCCAAGGATAATCCATAGCTAGTACCATTCTAGACGAAAAGGAAAGAGAATTCATTGTACATAATGGAAGCCTTAGGGCATTAGGTATGATTCCCAGCTGAAAAGAGCTGCTCAAGAGTCAGACTGGCCTGAGTTAGATTCCCATGTCTACCACAAGCAACAGAATGCCCCTGGGCAGGTTGTTCTGTGCCTCACTGTCCCAGAAGTAGAGTTAAAACAATATCTATCTCACAGAGCTGTTCTGAAGACATAACAAGACAACCTATATAAAAGGTGTGGCACACAGGGCTTAGGACCTAGTAAATACACAATAAACACTAGTTCCCATTTTCATTACTATTACTTCAATCCATTATCTGCACAAGCAGACAGAGTAATCTCAAAGATGGTAATCTGTTTATGTCAATTCCCTGCTAAGCCCTTCCATGACTCACATATATATGGTGAACTGATTTTTATCAAAAGCACAAAGCAATTCAATGGAGAAAGAATAGCCTTTTCAAAAACAGTGCTGGAACAAATGAACCCAAATCCAAGCCTAATACCCCATAATAAAAATTAACTAGAAATAAATCACAGACTTAAATGTAAAACTGAAAACTAAGAAACTTCTAGAAGAAAGGAGAAAAACTTTGTGGCCTTATGTTAAGCAAAGATTTCTCAGATATGGCATAATCCATAACAAGAAAAAAATGATAAATTGGACTTCACCAAGATTAAGAACTTCTGTACATGGAAGAGTTGTTAAAATTATTTGTCTGATAAAGGACTTCTTTCCAGAATATAGAACTCAAAGCTCAAGAAGAAAAAAACTGCCCAACTTAAAACACGAGCACAAGATTTGAAAAGACACTAGCAAATAAGCACATGAAAACATGCTCAATACATTAGGGAAATGCAAATTAAAACCACAATGAAATAGCACTATATACCTAGTAGAATGACCAAAAAACAAAACAAAAAAACCACGCTGACAATAATAAGTGTGGTGAGAGCGAGGAATTACTAGGACACTAACAGAATACTGTTAAGAATGTAAAACCATATAGTCACTTTAGAAAATAGCTTTGCCTAGTTGTTTCACCCAAGTGAAATGAAACCTTATAAACTCAGAACACTATAATAGTAACTTTATTCATAATTACACCAACTTGAATACAATCCAAATGTCCTTTATTTTTATTTTTATTTATTTATTTTTTTGAGACAGAGTCTCGCTTTGTTGCCCAGGCTAGAGTGAGTGCCGTGGTGTCAGCCTAGCTCATAGCAACCTCAAACTCCTGGGCTCAAGCGATCCTCCTGCCTCAGCCTCCCGAGTAGGTGGGACTACAGGCATGCGCCACCATGCCCGGCTAATTTTTTCTATATATATATTAGTTGGCCAATTAATTTGTTTCTATTTTTAGTAGAGACGGGGTCTCGCTCTTGCTCAGGCTGGTTTTGAACTCCTGACCTCGAGCAATCCACCCGCCTCGGCCTCCCAGAGTGCTAGGATACAGGCGTGAGCCACCGCGCCCGGCCCAAATGTCCTTTAATATGGGAATGGATACAAAACCAAAAAACCCAACTTTGGTACAACCACACAACATGGACAAATCTCACATACATTGTGTCAAGTGAAAGAAGCCAGACTCAAAAAGACTCCCTACTATATAATTCCATTCATAAGACATTTCTTGCAAAGAAAACCACAGAACATAAACAGATTGGGAGGTGGCCAGGGGTTAGTGGTGGGCTTAACTAAAAAGGGGCATGGGGAATTTGGGGAAACAATAAGTGTTACATATCTTGATTTTGGTGGTGATAACATGGCTGTATTCACTCATCAGAATTAAGAGAACTATATACTGAAAAGAGTGAAATTTACTGTATATAAACTATACCTTAAAAAAACTGGAATAAACAATCTGTCTGTGTCTTCCTACAACTTTTAGGATAAAGAACAAAGACTTTCATAGAACCTACTAGATCCTATAGCATCTGGACACCTTACCCACTCCCTAACTCTAGCCACCCTGTACTTTTTTCAGTTCCTCTAATGTAGCCTGCTCTCTTTCACTTCAGGGCCAACTCCTATTTATTCCTCTGGTCTAATAATCTAAACTGCACTTCCTCAAATGGAAGGCAATCTTCTGGGACTAAATAGTCAAGGTCTCTGTGCCCTTTGTCATATGCTCCCACACTAACTTGAATTTTCCCTTTCACAAGTCATCACACCTGTGATGACTTATTCACTACATGCCAACTGTGCTGGACTGTAAACTCCATGAAGGCTCCACTTCTATCTTACTCAGTGCTATATCCCCAAAACTTAGAAGAGTACCTAGGACAGTAGTCCCCCATTATCAGTGCTTTCAGTTACCCAGTATAATACATTAAGATATTCTCAGAAAGACAGAGACACAAAGAGACCACATTCATATAACTTTTATCACAGTACATTGTTAATAATTATTCTATTTTATTATTAGTTATTGTTAATATCTTACTGTGCCTAATTTATAAATTAACTTTATCATAGGTATGTATATACAGGAAAAAACATAGCATCTATAGGGTTCAGTACTATCTGCAGTTTCAGGCATCCACTGGGGGTCTTGGAGTATATCCCCTGTGGATAAGGAGGGACTACTGGACTCCATTTATTGAATAAATTGTGGCTTAGTTATTAGGCATTTTGTTGAGAAGTTTGGACCTTACTTTGAAACCCAGGATTCACTGTCTCTTGTTGAAATATCAAACTTGAATAAACTTTTGGGAAAAAATTAGTTAGCAAAATGGAGATTTTTATATGTATAAATAAAGCTAAGCCTATGGAGCTAATCGAAAACTGAAATACTTTTCAAAATATAACATGAAGTCAAACAAAATCCGAAGTCTTTTAGATACCCTATGGACACGTACCTTAACCGAAGACCAAAATTGTCGTTGAAAAAACAAGTAAGGCCCAGAATTTTTATTTTCTAAGACACTATTAAAAAAAAGAGAAACACACAATGATCAAATATTTTATAAGTAGGTACCATATGATTCCTACCCAAAAAAACATTTTTTCTCTAAGTAAAACAGGTAGGTTTTTCAAATTTTTCAAAGAATTATATTCTGGAAGATAAAAAGCAATGGAAATGTATTCTGAAATACTGAGGGAGAACAAAGAGTATTAACTGCATTATTCTGCTTACGGGAACAACGTCCCCACGGTGCTAGTCTTTGGAACACTGGCTTACACTACATAGGTAAAGTCTACATTTCAAGCTACCTTCAGTTTTCGAGAATTGTAGAAGCCTTTTCTGAAAGATAATGGAGAATACTGTTTTAATATATTTCAGAGTTACTTACTTTTTGGGATATAAAGGCATAAATACATCATCATCTAAAGTTCTCCTCATTCTCAATAAAAGTGCTTTTAGGTATACCTAAAGAGTTAAAAGTAGATCACATATTTTAATAAGGTCTATGATAATAAAAATAAGCCACATTGCAAATCATATAATGAGTATCAAATTTTGAGCTAACCATTTTCTAAAATTTTTCATTTCCCTCATTGAAGGCCCTTATGTCATTAATACTTACTAATCTATTAGGTCATTCCCCAAAAATTACCAAACAATAAAGCCATTTAGAAATCTTTCAATCTCTTAGACTACTGTATAAAGATCAGATGCATAATCTGGTTCTTCTCAAAATGAGGTCAGAGAAAATTCAACAATAATACAGAGCACCCACCTTCTCCAAGTTTATATAGCTCATATAAAATGTCCACTGAGGGAAAGCATCACTATAGAAAATAATACTTAGTCCTTTTATACTCTGTTTAAATGTTTTAGCATTTAAATTCATTGTTAACCATTCTAGTAGTTTTACATTTTTCCCCTTTCCCAAAAATACAGTTCTTAAAGGGGCATTTGATTAGTTCAATTGGGAGTGGTGGTGTGGTGGTGAGAAATAGTACAAATGAGAGGCTGACTGATAGTATCTTCCTTCCATGTAGATTTTTTTAATTGAAAACTAGTATCTCGGCCGGGCGTGGTAGCTCACGCCTGTAATCTTAGCACTCTGGGATGCCGAGGCAGGCGGATTGCTCCAGGTCAGGAGTTCGAAACCAGCCTGAGCAACAGAGAGACCCCGTCTCTACTATAAAATAGAAAGAAATTAATCGGCCAAATAATATATATAGAAAAAAATCAGCCGGGCATGGTGGCGCATGCCTGTAGTCCCAGCTACTCAGGAGGCCTGAGGCAGAAGGATCGCTTGAGCCCAGGAGTTTGAGGTTGCTGTGAACTAGGCTGACACCACGGCACTCACTCTAGCCTGGGAAACAAAGCGAGACTCTGTCTCAAAAAAAAAAACAAACAAAAAAACTAGTATCTCAAATTTTGTATACTTTAGGCATTAAAGGCCTGGATGACCAGAGTGGGAGAATCAGATTTCTAGTTGGTTTAGAATAACCAGTCATTCTTCGACTTTTGCTGATTTTCAATAGAAAAAGAAAGCCTCCCAAAGATAATAATTACCTGTGTATTTTTATTTTCTGCATTCACTACTGAAGAATATCCATTTATTAATTTTAGTGTAATTCCAACCATTCTTGAAGTCTGTGTTGTAGAAAAAGGGTCCCACATATTTTCAGCTATCACTATTAAGAAAAAAATTGGATATGTTGAGATACAGATATACAGAAGTAAATTACAACTTACTTAAATCTGTATCAAGCAGTCTTCTAATTATAATGCCAATTCTAATTTATTTTTCCTTTCTCTCTACAATGTAATCGTCAGTCTTCTTTGTCCTATTAACCGTGGGAATTCTGAGGAATAGGGGAGGAATGTGGAGCAAGGATAGAGTCTTCCTATTTCTGCTACTTAGAGAAAATAAACACTGGGGGGAAAAGGATTTCTGTATTGAGATGTTGTCTCAGCAGCAAGAATTTCTAACTAAACTCGAAACTTACTTCTAATATAGGTTTCTATATCAATGAGTCCTAATCTTTTTGAGAAACTGATGAAATTGCTCCCCAGATAAATGCATATCCCCTCTCTAACTATGTATTCAGTTTTGCTCCAGGCAGTCTTTGAGTCTCTAAAACTCAACTATTAATCAATTACTCTCACAGGCTCACCCCAAGGGTCTTCAAGTCCCATCATAAGAACTCCCTACCCTTTAGCTATCTCTGGGCCATACAATAACCATCATTTATCAGGTAATTTCTATCAGAAAATGTGCTCTCTATTAAAAACTCTCTTAACAATAGGTTTGGGAAAGCCAACGTGTCTAAATGTTCAACTCAGAAAACAGGAGATTTACCTGTTAGTTTAGGAAGAATCACCTTTTCCACAATGGTAGGTAGTAGTGCAACATCTACATCATCTTTCTCTTGCTCTCTTTCTTCACATCCATAAAACAGCAAAGATTCAAACCACAACATATTCTCAAAGTCACGACATTTTGCCTAAAAAATATTAAAATGGTTACCCAAACATTTAAAATAGTGGCCATTTCCGCTTTTAGCCATAATAAGAGTAATAGGAACTGGAGTTAGCTTTTGATTATAAACAATTAAGAACTGGACAAAATGTGAAATCCATTTTCAGACAATGAACCACAAAGCAGCATATGAAAGAAGGGAATCAAATGAGGTGAGCTATTGGTTCAGGACAGCAGAGCAGTCTTGCTGAGTGGAGGAGACAGAATATGGAGTTCAAGGAGGCTGACAAGAGCTGGAAGCTAGGGACAAGAGTGGGCTACACAGAAAAACAACTCCAAAATACACACACAGCCTTGAGCCTTTGCTGTCTACCAAGACACCTATGCACAGGATAAAACTCCACAAGGTCTGGCAAAGAGCATTCAGGAGCTGTGAGCTGAATGCTTCCCAGAGCTCACATTTTTTTCAGTTGTGTTTTCATGGCTTCATGCTCAGTCTTCTTTCCTTATAGTTTACACCAGGCACTCTCAAACTACAGCCCGCGGGCCACATGCGGGTGTTTTTGCCCGTTTGTTTTTTTTACTTCAAAATGAGATATGTGCAGTGTGCATAGGAATTTGTTCATAGTTTTATTTAAACTATAGTCTGGCCCTCCAACGGTGTGAGGGACAGTGAACTGGCTCCCTATCTAAAAAGTTTGAGGACCCCTGGTTTACACATTCAATCTAGCCAATCTTAATCATGTCTATAGCTCTACCCATATGTTGGTAAGTTCCAAAACCATACTGTAAACATACCATTAGATCTACCTATACAGTCAAATCCTTATATACCAGGCCAATGGGGCCTACTGATTCCACCTCCTAAGTTTATCAGCGCCTCACCCTCCCAATTTCCATTACTGCTGACTTAGTCCAGGTCTTCATTCATAACTGCTTCACTATGCTTTCCCATCAGGTTCTAAGTTCCTCTAGTATCAAAGGACCAAGTTCGTTGTACTCATGTTCATATTCCAGTGTCACTACATAAAATTTTAGCTGACTGAGAAAGGAACTATGTATCAAATGAAAAGCAACAGATAGCCCTTTTGGGAAGGTATAAAATTTAGAAGGAAAAATCATAAGATTATACCCAGATACAATCTGCATTAATTAATTATAGCCTGTGCCTTATTTCCCCTGAAAAATGTTTTGCTTAAGCTTACATCTCTAACTCTGAGACTAATATTATCCAGACATCAGGTTATATTGCTTTCTAACAGTGACAGAAGCCACCCACCTCCAAAGGAGTCCAAGTGAGGAGCTGCAGTCTTATGAGGGGGTTGAACAACTTTGGCAAACAAAGGCCGATGTAAGCATCTTTATAGGACATGTAGTATTTTGAACGCCATGCTTCAAACTGTGCTTTAATACAATCGATTGAACAGAAACTTTCAAGGACATCTTCAAAAACTTTGCTGGATTCTTTTGAAATTCGATCTAAAAACAACATAAAACCCCACAGAGAACCATAACTAAGCATGAAATAGAAAAAAAACAGTTCAATACTTTCAGTGTTTTCTCTGTAGCCTATTGATCAGATAAGCTCATTAACAAAGGCTGTTAATTGCAATTTAGAAGAAAAGATAAATAAAGGTAATTTAGGTTTTAATTTGTCTACTATGCAATCTAAGGTGCAGTCAGTCCTCGTTTTGAACAGTTTCAATGTGCGTAATTTTCCATTACCAGGGTTTAGCTAAATATCTGTGCCCTAAAAACATGGTTCAAATTTCAGTTACCTGGTATATTAACTGTGAATAAACGCATAAATTACAAACTTTGCTGCTGGCTTTAGTCCACAAATCACTGTACAAACAACAGCTATGCATCATGATCGGTGACATTGCTTCTTTCAAAGTCAGTTGGTGATTATATAAGTAATAACTGACACAGACAAGTATTAGCTGAATGGATACTAGGATCTTTAAGGCAAAATTTGGGAATAAGATATTAATGTGATGCCTCAGATAACTTGGGAAAAGGAAATCTTTATATTGGAGAGATTAAGTCCTAACAAACTTCATCAGAAGATCAATCTTAAGATTGATAATAATAGGACAATCTAACATTTTTTATGTTCTATTATGTAAGAAACAGCATCCTGTATGAAGTATTCTTGCTAAAAATAAAAGTTTAAGGCTGGGTGCAGTGGCTCACACCTGTAATCCTAGCACTCTGGGAGGCCAAGGCGGGATGATGGTTCGAGGTCAGGAGTTCGAGACCAGCCTGAGCAAGAGTGAGACTCCCTTCTCTACTAAAAATAGAGAGAAATTAATTGGCTAACTAAAAATATATAGAAAAAATTAGCTGGGCATGGTGGCACATGCCTGTAGTCCCAGCTACTCGGGAGGCTGAGGCAGAAGAATCACTTGAGCCCAGGAGTTTGAAGTTGCTGTGAGCTAGGCTGACACCACAGCACTCTAGCCGGGGCAATAGAGTGAGACTGTCTCAAAAACAAAATAACAAAAATAAAATAAAATAAAATTTAACCTGAATCTAATCAAACCTTCAGACCTAACTTTCAGTTTACAAGAAATACTATGAATGGAAGAACAAGTTAAACAATAACCATGAGGAAACATACAAACAAATCCAGAATGTAGGAGGTTCTATAAGCCAAGTTGTCTGGTCTCTTCAAAAAGTTAATGTCCTAAACAAGTAATAAGGGTGTGTGATGTGCAGAGTACTCATGGATACCCATTTATTTCAGATGAAAAAATGTAACAACCAAATGCAGAGCATGAACCTTGGGTGGTTCCTGGTTTGGAAAATACAAATGAAAACCACAAAAAGACCCATAAAAACAGTGTGGATGCCATTGAGGAAAATTAAATATGAACATGATATTTAAAACTTTTAGTTAATATTCTTAGGTGTGACAATGGCACTATGATTACAATGAAAAATATCCTTTTTTAGGAAAAACATGCTGAAAATTTAAGGAGTGAAGTGCCATAATGTCTATAGATTACTTTCAAATGGTTCATCAAAACACACACACACACACACACACACACACACACATCCATGTATATACTTTATAAAATGGCAAGCATTGTTCAATCTGAGTGATAGGGATATGGGTGACTGCTGTGCTATTCCTGAAAGTTTTCTGTATGGTTAGGAACTTTTACCATAAAAAAAGTGGGAGAAAAAAAGATTCTCCAACTAAGTTTCAAATGGCTTGCAGCCAATATAATTACAAATAATTAAAGCCAATGGTGGGAAATGAAGACTTTTATTTGGAGATCCTTCTGGAAATGCCTCACACATAATACTAACTATTCCTCTAAGTTAAAATGATTCATGACTCTATAAATCAGGAGTTTTTTCCAGGTTTACTGCCAAGCTTTACCTATCCAGCCCAAATAGGCTAAAGTTAGAGCTGCCCTCAGGATCTGACACATATTTTGGTCACTTAAAATTCTACTATTCTAAAGAATAACATCATTTATTATGCAAGTACTAAGTAAATCCTATGACAAGGTGTTATCCCTGTTTTTGATATTCACTAATATCACATCATGATAATCACTAATAAAAAAAAGTTTTTGCAATAAAAAAAAAAGTGTTTGATTCTAATGTAGAGGCCACAAAGATCCAAACCATTTCATGCTAAAAACCACACCCAAGTAGAAACCAAATTGACAATGAGTTTCATTTACAAATAAATGTCTAACCTTTTTCCAGATTGAAATTAGTAATATCTGTAGAAGTTTCTTCGTCATCACTGGAAAGGCCTTCAAGGTGATCTGCCATCTTACCAGTTTGCTCTCTGGCTTGTCTACGACGAGTCCTAAATAACAAACATGAAGTTTCTAAATCACATAAAAAAGATTCCTCCCTTCCCAAATAAACCAAGCATTTCCCAAACACAGCACTTTTAGAATTACCTCCTGGCCTCCCGCTCTGCAATCCGGCGTTTTGCATGTTCTTGATACAGTGCCCGATCTCGTCCAAAGGAATCAAGATTTGGTGCCATCAGAGCTTTATCTGTAAAACAGCAATGGTTAAAATTAAAAGCCTTCCTTCAACAATCTTGAGGAAAGAGTTTGCACAGAATAAGCCATTATGATAGACTGCTTGCTAATCTCAACAGCAGGATTCTGCAATAACTGGTAAACTGGGCAGGTTTTTAGTTAGAACAAATCTCAGTGTTATTCTGCATTCCCATGAAAAGAAGTAGAAAAGTTTAAGAATTGATTTCTTTTTTAAGAGTCCAGCAAACCTACACAAATGCAACTGGGTTTACTCACTATTCTTATGTCTAAGTAACAAGACTAGTTTATGCTAGCATGATGACCAAATAAATTAAAAATAAAAATTACCTGTGCAAAGGGAAAAATAATAGATTACATTTTCAAGAAAGAACTTAAGCATCACGTCGAATGATATGAAATGACAGCAAAGAAACATAGGTAGGAAAACATAAGAAAACAGCTTTGTTGCAAGAGTTTAATAATTTATTCTATTTTATTCTAATTTTGCTTTGTAGAAATTTACTCTCCATCACTAGTTTTAGAACAAGACGAAAGTATAGATTGAAAACTGTACCTGAGTAGGACCAACTTACACATTCTCAAACACTACTTTCATAGCATACTTGGCCTTTTAAAAAAAAAAACTTTCTAGGGTAATTTTCTAGCTTTAGATTCCAATTCTTCTATTTAAATTTATATTTCAGTTACCATATTTTTAGTTTCCAAGAGTTGGTTCTTATTTTTATAATATTCCTCTTCTATAGCATTCTATACTGGTATTGAATAAGATAACTTCTATTATCTTTTTAAAACATTTCAATTAAGTTTTAAAGCTTTTTGCTGCCATCAGCATTGTCTTTTTCCTCAGTCCTTTGGTTCTATTACTTGTGTTGGTGTTTATCATGACTGTTAACTGCCTATTCACATATAAAAGCAAGACTGGAATCTCTGTGTGCATAGGAGGGAGTTGTCTAAAAGCATCTCCATCAGATCACTGGGTAGGAGAACCATTTCTTTTATTGGGGACTCCCAGATGTTAGTGTCTCAGGGTCTTTTCTCCATTCTCTTTCATCAGAAAAAACTCCTCTAATCTCATCTAGGGTAGAAGGGATGGCGGAAACATCTGTCTGCTATACTTCCCTCATTTCTACATTTTAGTTCCACACTATGAAGGTATTCTTGAAAGTATGGAATAGTAATGGGACATAAACCCAAGAAATTGGGGAAAAAGGGGTTCTCATGCAAGATAAAAGACATCCACTTAAGACATGCTGGCTAGCATGTCTGTTGGTTTAAAAAAAAAAAAAAAGATTTGTACATATTTTTTCTCTGATATCAGAAATATGTTACCAAAATCAGTAGCAGGAAAAACAAAACCAAAAATCAGCTCTTACTTCAGAGTATCCTAGCTATCATATTCTATTATTTTTAAAAGTTCACTGTTTTTAAAGGAGTTTTTCATTCATTCAAAATAGCTCTGATATTAGGAAAGAGATGTGTTCCACAGTTCACTAATTTACAATGAAAGATTACTACAGTAAACAAGAAAGATGCCCCAGGTCCACCTCGACTATGAGTTCACTACACACCCTAGATGGAGTAGATCAATTAGCTAAAATATACCAAATTATAGAAATAATTCCTGACTCCTTAAGAAGTATCTTTCATTAAAAAAATAGATTAAAGACTACTCATTACCATAATAAATACTTAAACATGCTTATATATAGGTTTCATATAATGTATATTGGGGGAGATACATGAGTGTAGATGACTCAAGTGATAACTTCCTTCATTTCTGTAAGAATTATACACAGTAATTGTGGACAAGTGCTTACAAATCAAAACACGTAACTTTCAGACTACTCTTTGCTTCTTTAAAAAAAAAGATCAGAAAATGAATTGATTCGTCAGTGTCTCGGCAATTCTCCTCAAATCTCTGGCAATTAAAATATACTACCTCTAGAACAGTACTTTTCACTTTCCCATTATCTTTTAATTTCCAACTTTCAGTCTAATTAACAGGTATCATTCAACTCTTCCTTCAAATTACATGTAAGTAAATAGCTCCATATTCTGAATAACAGATTGTAGGTGGGAAAGGTATTTGATGAAAACAACAGTTCACACAAATCATCTAATTTAAAAGAAAATGACTTCTCTTCATAGTTTAATGGTTACCTGTATTCTGCCCCAGAAATCTGGTTCTGTCTGGATCAAAAGTGATCTGGGAGGGATGCATTAGTCATTCAGGTGCCCAATGTTAACAATCCGATTTAGGCTGGGCTCAGTGGCTCACGCCTGTAATCCTAGCATTACAATGCTAGGAGGATGAGGAGGGAGGATCGCTCAAGGTCAGGAGTTCTAAACCAGCCTGAGCAAGAGCGAGACCCCATCTCTACTAAAAATAGAAAGAAAGTAATCGGCTAACTAAAAATATACAGAAAAAAATTAGCCAGGCATGGAGGCACATGCCTGTAGTCCCAGCTACTCGGGAGGCTGAGGCAGAAGGATTGCTTGAGCCCAGGAGTTGAGGTTGCTGTGAGCTAGGCTGATGGCACGGCACTCTAGCCCAAGCAACAGAGTGAGACTATGTCTCAAAAAAATAAAAATAAATAAATAAAAATAATTCGATTTAAACTTATATGGCAAAAACAGAAGGTCAAAACCATTTATATGGCTCACAGCTGAGTCTGCATCAGCTCTGAGGGCCATATTACCATCTCTTTATGCTTCTCTAAAACCCATCTGACATACAGGAGAATGCTTTCTCAGAGATCCAATATCTCTGACTTGGAGGACACCTTGTATGGCAAGCCACTGCTTGAAGGTCCCTTGCACTTCAATCACCTGAAGTGGTTGTTTAACATGCAGGTTCCTGGGCACCAAAGACCTAGGTAAGAATCTCTAGGACTAGGACCAGGAAATCTGCATTTTAAATGAGTATCAGGTAACTGATGCACTCTTCCATTTGAGAACTAGTGATATGGGAACAAAGAGATGACAAAAGAAGCCAAAGGGAATCCATACCAGGAAAATTCCTATTAGGGCACTCAAGAATATGAAGGGAAATGGGAAAAAAATGGAATTTCTCAGTTAAACTATTTAAAAAGAGGTTTCCAATTAGTTTTCGTTTTCCATAACACATGTCATGATGAAAGTAACAGAAATTCAATTTTTACATTTTTACACAAAATTTCCAGAATTGTAGGCATCAACTGACTTACTAAAAACCCAGTACATAAGGCAAACTAGAGAAAGGAACATTTAAAAAGAAAATACAAAAAGTTTGCTTTATCCAAAGGGTGAAGCTCAAACTCCCCTAATCTTGGAGTTGTGTCATTTTGTTATATACTACAGCTCCCATCTCCCTTCCCATAAACTTTCCCAGTCCCTAAACTCAAAATCTTTCACTGTGATCAACAGCATTTATACTGGTGTTATGAACAGGATGAAAACAGAAATCGAAAAAATCAATTAGGGCCAAACAGATAGTGGTTTTAATATAAAATACCGATAATGTCTTTTCTATACTCTAAAGGAGAATGAAAAAATATGCCCAAAGAAGAATAAGATTGATAGAATATTATCGCATGTATTTTTAGCTCCTCTGTGAAGCTATATTTTATTAAAAACAATTCAAGCACATGCTGTAATAACTTTTAGATCTACCTGACACAAGAGCAAGAAAACTTGTTCTTTAAAAAAAAAATGCTCTGAGATCTCTAATTTTCAATTAGGCTGCACTAAGTAAACAAGGTTGTTTAATGAATAATAAAAACCTTCAAGATGGACTGACTTGAATGGCTTGAAAACTCCGAAGATTCATCTTTAATATCATCTTGTCGTCTTTGGACAAGGCGGGAAGCTCGCTGTTTGTACAGCTGATGTATTGCTGATTCAAGTTCATTAATCAGTGGCACCTGTAAAAATACAACACACTCCGTAACACCAAACTCCTCAGCTGCTTACTTATTTGAGGGTTCCATTCTATTTCCGGATTTCTGAAAAAGTACCCTCTCTATGGACAGAATATTCATGAATCCCCCAGCATAAATATCAATTCAGTTTTATAATGCTTAGGAAACATGAGTTCTTCTTCTAATCCAATAATGTCCAGTGCCTAGTTATTGGAGCAAAAGTTTGGTTAAGAAAGGTAACATTTCAATATTAATAGAGAGAACAAGTAAAGAAATGTCAAAAATTTTAATGCTTTTTCTTTAAAGAATATTTAAGTACTTAGAAATCTTTTTAATGTCTATTTTTAATTTTCCAGCAGCATAATTTGCATTGCAATGGCTCTGAATAAGTAAGAACAAGAGTCTATTAATTGCCCAATTTTGGACATTTAAATTGCTCTGCCACTCATATGTACCAAGTATCTTACAGTAATATGTTAAACTATTTTGCTGCTTTATTACACATTTCAAACATAAACAGAATGATTTATAGGGCAATTAAATGTTTAGCTATCACTAATATGTCTAAAATCAATATATCTCAAAAAGGGAGAAAGTTCTTCCCTTCCTATCAAATGTTTAAATTTTCCCATATTTTGTAATAAAATTCTTCACATGGATTGTCAGTTTACAAAGTCAAGAAATTTTTTTTCAGGTTAATATCCATAGCTAAAGCATTTACTTGATTCATATAGAACATAAAAGCTTATAGAACATGAGACCTAACTTTAATAAAAAAAAAAAAAAAAAACAGAAAATGTTCTCTTTATAAATACCTTATGTTATAACCAAATGCTATGAAACTTTCACAAAACACTAATGACCACTACACATACCTGAGGAAACCAGAAATTCTAGTTTCCTGGTGGTTAGTACAAATGGAAAACACATTATTTAGAGTTTGGGAACACTGGCACCAAGTGTTATATCAGCTTCCTGAACTGAACAGACTGCAAATGGAAAATAAAAAAAGGCAGGTGGAATACAAAGATGTCTGTAATAAAAGCAATTTTATATACTTGCATGATTCCATTGCAAAAGTAGCAAATGTTCACAGAAAGGTCAAACTGATGGAGTCATATGCCACAGCATGGGCAACAATGTCCCCAAATCTGCAATGATTATCCTTCACAACTGAGTCCAGAAACTATCGTTAACATTTACTATAATCTGATTTCCCTTTAGTAATTACTGCCATATCATTGTGACTTACACTTTCCCACCCCCTCATTTAAAAAAAAAAAACAAAACATTGTAGAACTAAAGACAAATGTACCTAGCAAGCATTCTTTTAGTCCTGGAGATTGTTAACCTTTCTCTTCTGTAAGAGCTACATATCTGAGCCGGCATCACACAGAATTTAATTTTCGGATTTATAGTTAAGATTCTGACAATGTAGTTTTTCTGTTTAGGAATTGGACTGCCTTTAACAAAGCTCAAAGAAAAACTTTATTGAGAATAAAAGCTCTAAACCACGTTTTCAGCTCTCATTCAAGTTTCTTAACAATACTGATTTATCTCAAGAATCTGTACTGTGACAATTTCTTTACCATCTCCAAACTCAAGACTGTTATTGATGATTACTATTTTAGGATCGAATTTAAGGAAAAGAACACAAGAAAGATGATTATAGAAAATAAAACAATGCAAAGTTAAAATGATTTACAAATAATTTAAAACCTAAGTTCAAAAACCACTTAAACTCTTATAAGGAAACAGGAAAAAAAAAGGAATCTTTTTATGGTTTTACCCTGAAATAATATTTTATAGTATAATAAGTAAACTGAATATTCAAATCTATCCAATTGTTCCTAAATATTTCCAAGATGACAATTTATGTTATTAAGAACTCAGCAGCATTCTTAATAAAACTGAATGTATCTGAAGATGTCAGAATGAAATAAAATACTCATCTTTAAAAGAGGGTATATCTATCTCTTTTAATTAAAATATAATCACTGTAAAATACATAAGGTTTAAGATCTGCTCTAAAACATCTAAGTGACTATATACCCACATTAGCACAACCTGAAGTAACTTCTCTAAGACTCGATAATCAAGGAGAGATGAAGTACACTAATAATTCTGTAATTAAAAACTATATAAAGCAGATATCCTAATATTCTTTTTAATTCAAGAATGGTATGATCTAGCTGATCATATTACTGTTGAATTTTTTAGAGTTAACTGTGTTTGCAATTACAAGTGTCTTAGTTTACGCAAGTTAAGTTCCAAAACAAAGGCCAAGATACTTCAAAAAGCTCCCCAGGGAAAACCTAACTTACAAAACAGTTTAAGAAAAAGACCCTTTCTCTAGTCACAAAGGTTATGAGACCAGCTCCCATGGTGCCCACTGGGCTCAGAAAGGCTTTACTAGTAGGAAGGAGTATCAGCTCTGACACTCAGGTTCCACTTCCAATCTTCACTCCAGCCCCCTGCATAGAGGAATACAGTCAAATCTATGTTTCTTTCCCAACCTAAGCAACTGATCTACCAGATGGGATATTGTAACTCAGATTGCATTTGCTTCTCCAGAAATCAGGTAATAAGGATAAAACATGATAAATCCTACAGAGAGGACAGGGCGAATGCTATCTCATGCTGGATCTGACCACAGATTCACTGGAACCATTAAGACCCATCAGCAAGACACAGTCTGGCAATGTTCTTTTGCCAATCTTTGGTTTTAGAGTATTGAAGTAAACAAAAGAGATTTAAAACAAAAAAGTTAAAATATTCATTTAACCACACTATATGCTTCTAAATTCTATGCTAATCTGCACAGCCATAATAAGGGGAAATGTTCCTTCCAATCCAAAGTTCAGAGACATATATAAAGACCATGATTTAAAATTTTTTTTTTAAAGATAAGGCTACAAAGTCCACTAATGTTGGTTATAAACCAACCTCAAACAATACCATTATTTTAAAGAAAAATCAATTAGGAGGTCACTTGAGAAATTAGCTGTGTGCACCTAGTTTTTAAAAATGCAAACAATAAATGGTGTAACAGAATGCAAAAAATTGTGCCAACTGACTATCATACTGAAAAAAATGAACCTGGAAGAAATGAGACCTTAAAAAAAATTATGTCCAATGAATGGTTTCTGAAATGAATAAAGCATAGGCTTACTTAAGATGAAAACTACTAGCAGCAATGGCAACCATCTAGAGTAAAAAAAAAAACTAATAAAATTTTGCACCTTTATTTATATTTAGAATAACTTGTAGAAACAGTTTAAAAATAAGTCTACACCTAAACCACAAAAAAGAAAATTCCATCAGAATGAGTCCCTTATAGTCTAATAATTTAGCGCAGGCTAATAATCTAGCATTACATTGAGATAAGACTTGCCAAGGCCTTATTTAAATGTGCTTTGAGGTATTATCTTTTTTCCTGTTTTCAACAAAGGCACTATCATGCCCCCAAGAGATCAAGCCACCAATGAAGTGAAGAAAATGAAGCATGAGTTTCTTTACTTCTAAAGTTGAATTCTGTGGATATTTCCTGATAATTACAGAATGTTCTACACAAAGCCATCTAGACCTCCTTAATTTTGCCTTATTCAAAAAGATTAATATTTTTACATTCTTACCTTTTCACTGAAACACTCAAGCAAGTCTTGGACATACCCTCGCATTTCTTGCAAAAATTTATACCGTTCACCAATACCCCCAGAAGACCCTTCTAATCTTTCAATAGCCCTGGTAGAGTCCACTCGGCTTTGCAGATGTTTCTCGTGCTGCTGTCGATTTGTTTTGTGCAATTCTTTCATGGAGTCCAACCTTAAGAACACAAAAGGATAAATATAACACATTTACATCCAAAAGTCTATGCTGTCAGGACTCTTGCAATATTATAATAATGCATTTAGTTCCACTATTAGAACATAAAAATACTTGGAATGGCATCTTTTCACGTGTACTGCTTTTTTTCCTCAAAAAAAAAAAAAAAAAAAAAAAACAAAAAAAAAAAAACTGTTCATAGACTTCGTATAAAGTTATTTGGGTGCTAACCAAAATCTCATTGTTTTGCTTTTCCCCCCATAGCTTGGCTACACTTTTTCAGAGTCCAAGAGGTACAAACTCAGAACTGTCTTCAACAAGATCATGGAGTAGCATTTTTTTTATAATTTTTCGAGGCTTCCACGGAAGTATTCCAAGAAGGTAGCAGAACAAAGTACGAAGTCATCTTCTGGTTAGCTTTTGAAGATGGGCCAGTGAATCTTCTTTGCTGATGTTCTGCATCTGCTACCCCAGACTACAAGTTGCCTGAGGGAACAGAAAGCTAGAGGACAGGTCTTTAAGAAGTTGATCTGCCCTACCTGTCTTTAAGCTGTTTCTTTACCAAATCAATAGTAACGGGAGTCATCTCATTACTGGGAGTTTTGAAAGGGACTGTATTATCTGTTTTTTGAGATTTGGCATCTGATGATCCATAGGCCGTATAACTATAAGGAATGCCATAGGATGAACCATAAGGCATTGTCTGGTAAGTGTTCTGGTAGTACATATTCACTTCAGCGGGCTGACTTGCTTGAACCTAGAAAAGAAATTGATATATATGAAAATTAGAAGCTAAAACTTTGAAAAGAATAATATGCTTTGAGGATTTAAAAACAAAAACCACCTAAAAGCAAAAATTACACCCATTTCCCAAACAGTATGTAATTAAAATAAATAATTGCAGTATTCTTCAAAATCAGGTAAGAGTAGCATTGGATGGATGTCCTATCTCTTGATGGAATCACTGTATTTATTTAAAAATAATTTCCAGAAAAATGGACTATCAAAGAAGTTTAGAGTCGGAAGGGGCATTAAAAATAATTCAAGGCCACTTCTTATCAATGGAATCAGATAAATCTCTTGCTCATGGTCACGGAATAAATAGGCAGCCAGAGATCACAATCTAAGACTCCTGACATCCATTCTAAGACTTTCCTTATTATACTATTTTCTTACCACCACCCAAATGCATGCAAATTCTGCCTCAAAATACTCATTTATGTAATTTTCCCCACTGTATTACTTAATTCTATAAAACAAATTATTATAACTACCTGGGAAGATATTTTTCACCTATCTCAGTAAGTTTCTGCATTATTAGAAATCCATCTTGATTCTAATTCTAATCTATCTTATCTCTAAGAAAATAAGCTATACAGGAAAGAGAAAGTCTATCTAAAGCAGTGGTTCTCAAACTTTAGTGTACAACAAAATCAACTAGAAGGCTCGTTAAACACAGATTGCTGGGGCCCACCCCGCTACCAACTCTGTTGGTCTGAGGCAGGGGCAAGCACTTTTGCATTTCTAATACACTCCCAGGTGACAGTGATACTCCTGGTTGAAGGACCACTTTGACCACTTTGAGAAACACTGATGTAAGAAACTGGAAACTGCAAAAGGCAAAATATAATACAGTTTCTTCTAAAAGCCTATGAATATATAGAGTTCTCTGATACAGAAAAAAAAGAACAAAAGCCTATGAATACATAATTTCATGTGATTTTCTTGATTATGTTACTTGAATGATGAAGAATCAATATAGAATATGTTTTTAATTATAAGAAAAAAAACAGGCCGGGCGCGGTGGCTCACGCCTGTAATCCTAGCTCTCTGGGAGGCCGAGGCGGGCGGATTGCTCGAGGTCAGGAGTTCGAAACCAGCCTGAGCAAGAGTGAGACCCCGTCTCTACTATAAATAGAAAGAAATTAATTGGCCAACTAATATATATATACAAAAAAAAAAAAAAAAAATTAGCCGGGCATGGTGGCGCATGCCTGTAGTCCCAGCTACTTGGGAGGCTGAGGCAGGAGGATTGCTTGAGCCCAGGAGTTTGAGGTTGCTGTGAGCTAGACTGACGCTACGGCACTCACTCTAGCCTGGGCAATAAAGTGAGACTCTGTCTCAAAAAAGAAAAAAAACAAAAAGGCTTTTCAATTTACTTTTTAATTTTTGAAGTTGAATTCTTTAGTTCTTACCTGAGGGATATTAATTCCTTTTCTTATCTGCTCCTGTTCCCATCGGCTTAGCTCTTCATCTTGTTCTCCAGTTACTAAAGCATCGTCATCACTCCCCTCAATGCCTGGGGCCATGAGCAACAAATGAAAGTAAATAACACTCAAAAAAGCAGAGAGGGAAGAAATGCTATCCTGACATTTCACAAGAATTGAGCAAAATTATTGTTATTTACTCAATCTTACTAAAATGTCTATTATGATCTCTTCTAATTGATACTCCTGACTTTGTCTGTCTAAACACAGCATCCCTTGAAGCTAAAAAGGTAGTATTAATGTAATGGTTAAAATGTTAGCTAGGTTTCTTAATCTCTGTAAGCCTGACATCAACTCAAAGGGAAGAATAAAATCTAATGCCGCCTAATAATATTGAATTATGTAAATTTATGCATGTAAAGTGCTTAGCACAATACTAGCCACACAAGAAGTGCTCAATAAATGTTATTAGCTATCACAATCATGCTACAGTTTTCAAAAAATTCCAGTAAGATACTTGTACTAAAGCAAGAACAGTACTCTAACATAATGGGATATATAAGAAAAAATATATATTAAGTATAAATACTTTTTGACTATAATATCAAATCACATTTAACAGTAATGCAATGGTCCAATGGGCTTACTATTCAAATCAATCACATTACCTATTTCCTCAGCGATTTTTTGTCTTTGTGACTTTTCTTTCACAGAAAAAACTATACGGCGTTTCTCATCATCATCTTCATCATCGCTGGCATCGTTCTCATCTTCTCTAACAAGGCGGCCTTTACCAGGCTCATTATCATGAGGAGTGAAATCTCCCAATTCCCGTGCCATCTGACGCTTTTTTCTCGCAGCATGAATAAAAGCCGCATCTGGAATTTCTCCTGAAAACAAACGAATTAAAAAATATGTCAGTTGTAAATATGAAGTTTCTATTTCTTGAAAATAGAGAGGGTAAAATAATCCAAGATAGCCTGGTCACAGCTGCTGGCATCTCCTTCCCCAACTGTGCGTGCAGTCCAATTGATTTATTTTTAATTCAGTTTAAATGGAAGCTAAAACTCACTAAGGGAACTAAAAATATACAATGGCAATATATACGAGAAAGAGTAGGGTGGGGGAAAATGGAAACTTATCAAAGCAGTTTTATTTTAACTATAATTTGTTTTTCATTTTTAAGAAATAAAAGTAATGAAACCATATTACTAAACTGGAAAACAAATAAAAATAACAAAAATGATACCCACAATCTCAAGACACTAAATGCACTATTTGATTTATAGCACATTTCTCTTGCAGACATTGTTTTAATTCACCTGTATATATAATTTTATACTTAATTATTCTTCATATTAAACCATGATAAGCTTTTCTCCATGTTATTGTTCCACATAAATTTAATTTTTAGTGTCTTAACAATATTTCCTGAACAGTTACAGCATAATCTACTGTGCAATCAAATTAATTGACCTTTTGACTATAGTAAAAATTAATGCCTTGCTACTTGCCTAATTGTTACTTTAATAGCTACATAATATCCCATCAAGTAAATGTACTATAATTTACTAAGCCTTTCCCCTCCTGCCAGACATTTTTCCTAAATTTTGCTCATTGCAAATAATGTTGCAATAAAAACATTATTTCCTTGTGATAAATTTCTAGAAATGGAAAGACAGGGTCAAGGGTAAGAACTTTTTGAAGTCTATTGATTCATATTGCCAAATAGCTTCCAATAAGGACTGTAGCAATTAGACTGCTGCTAGTGAGATATGTATAAAATTTAGCACAACTTTCTCAGCCTTGCAGGCATTTTTAAGTTTTACAAATATTAAAATTTTATGAGTGAAATGGTACCTCTTCATAATCTAAATTTGGCTGCTAAACACTTACTTATTCAAAAACGGATTAGCCAGTGGATAGATTTGTAAAATATTTCCAATAAAAAACTAAAAAGGAAGAAAAATATGGACATAAAACTAACAACCATTAGTTTTGCTTTTAGTAGCAGTTCTCAAAAAAGTTAAAGTCTTAATTTGAGATACATAAAAAAGAATTTGGACTACTTACTCATTTACTTGAAGACCCATTTACTTTAATAAAAAAATTATGAATAAACTTGGGAAAGTTGGATAACTTCTAGTTCTCCCATTTTCTACATTTGCAAATGGAAATACCCTGGCTTCAAACAGAAATGTCAGTGTAAGAAATACCATTTAGCTAACTCCTTCCTTAATATTCATCTTTAAAGATGGCCCATTCTTGAGGGCTTAGTTCAGTTGTGATAAATACTTGCAAGTATATACCTGGACGGAGAACATTCAAAGAAGATAAAGCATTTGAAAAAGCTCCACCAGCCTTTGGCTTTTCTTCCTCCTTTTCACTTTCCATATCCATTTCATCTTCACCATGTTCACTGATGATAACACCATCTTCTTGACTTGTATCCTTAACATGTCCTGTTTTGTCCAAAGGTTGTTCATCTAAATTTTTGCAAAGATCAATAAAAATAAAATTTATAAATTAAAGAGGCACTTTTTATTCAATTATGGGCTCAATCCACTAAAGCTTGAATTATTTTAACTGTTTATAAAAAACTTAAAACACTGATGAATATGAAATAGCATTCTGAAACAGACATTAGGTCTGTGATATGCAACAGACATTAGGTCTATAATAGCAATATGAAACAGACATTAGGTAAAAACAATATAGAGGACACAAGCATGTATTTGAAGCCCCCTGTTCAATCCTACCTCAGTTAATTTTATCAAAATTTTAGTAACTTATCAAAATCAATTGTTTCTTCCTCTAAACTTCCACAGCTCAGACCTCCTTTAAGCATTATTTCTAGCAAGGGAACTGTGCAGTGGCCACATTCTGCCATCTCAACAGAGAAGAGAGCTCTCTAATTCTCAGTTCTAGTACAATCCTGAGGCCCGTTTCAAGAGTGCTTTCCTGTTACTGGGGTCCAGGAGGCACCACTACATATTTATGATAAACTGTTCTTGGTTTATATAACTTACAACTAAGTAAGTCCTATTACGGCCTCCATCCAAGACAAAATCAAGAAAATCAAAGTGTTTCCCCTCAAAGCACTGAACCTGGTAATGCTCACAATAAGCAAAGTAAATATAATTAAAGAGTGAAGCAAGAGTTTATTCTAAATATCTTATACTTAAGATATTTACTTACTCTTTCTTTACTCTTCTGTTGTTTCCTTAGCATGTTCCCTTCCCAAAAACTGCTTCTAAAGTTCTCCCATCTTCTCAAACCATATTCTACTCCCTTAAATAACAGTCCCAGAGACAATATCCCTTCCTCTTTTTAACTTTATCAAGATTTAGGTCATTCTGTTTTAGGCTTTTTTCATTTACCATCTTATCATGTTAGCCACAGACTTCTTTCTTATGTGCATTCTAAAGTTATGAGATTTTCAAACTTACTTTATCAGATGTATGATTAAATGAGGTGAAATACTACCTATTTCCTTCAGTTCTAAACCCACACTAAATCAGTGGCTTTTTAATAGGCTGAAAATATAACTGCAAAAGGTCTACTATATCAGATATGCTCAAATAATGAATGACTGCTGCAGATTTTTAAAGAGTCAGTGTTTCATTAAGTTCATAAGTATTTGTGATTGAGCAAATACAAGGCCAAAGCAAGGTGATAGGTGAGTGTTTGTAAATGGCCATGTTATCCTTCCAGATATCTCTATAGAGATGCTAAACCACCGTTTTCAAGCCTTCCCTTCTGCCTTCAATTTCCTCTACTACTATTTCAAGACACTTGTTCTATAGCTATCCACTTCACCTTAAACCTGGTCAGGCTCTTTCTCTCCTCCTTCTTTTCTGTTTCCAAAGAGACAAAGGCTTCTCTTCATCAAAAAAGAACTTCTACTTGATGCCATAGGTCCCTCTAGCTACTGTCCTCAGCTACTGTCCTCTACTTCTTTCTGCCAAACTTCCCAAAGCAGCAATTTGGACCTGCTACCTTCCACTTCCTCACCAACTTTCATGCCTCACCCCTAGCAAATGGCCTTAGATTTCACACCTAATGCACATATGTGGTATTGTCAAGCAATTTAGCAAAATGTATTCCTTCTTCCAAACAGCCCTGTGGGCACAGAGCCTGGCCATCCGTGGACCATTCCCTCCCATCAGATGTCTGCTCCAGAGAAAAGCCTAGCAACCCTGCAGATAACCATTCCTTGGTCCTCATTTTCCCTGACCTTTCTTGTACTATTTCAGATGAGATCAGGTGCATTCAGGGTGATACAGCAGTAGACTCATGTACTATGTATGTTCACACAACACACAATTGGCCATCATCTTCTTGAAACCTTCCTCCCTTCTCTTCTTTGGCCTTTTTGATTCTATTGTATCTTTGGTATCTTTTGTAACTTCTCTCTATATAAGCTTATTACAAAGTATAAGTCTTTGGATCTCAGTAATTTTCCTTTATACTGCTCTCTCATCAATTCCATTCACTCTTTATTATCCCCTCAAAAAACACCATACCTAAATCTCTAACTGTTCACTGGCTATGTCCACTCAAATTCACAATAATGAGTGAACTCATTACCTTAGAAATATCATAAAAATGGGTTTTCAAGTCAATATTGCTCTTGTTTGAAGGTAATTCATCTCTGCCTAGCTAAGGAGGGTTGCAGGTAGAAAGGATTGTGATTTGATTAACAAAAGACATTTCAGTAATAATGACAATCTATAATACAAACAGAGGCTCCACCTTTGGTGAGGACATAAATTTGGTTATCTAGTGAGTGGAATATCAGAATTTTATAAGGGTGGAAGGTTGGAAGAGGTCACAGAGGATGGTGTCATAACCCTCACACTTGCTTCAATTTCTAAACTTAATAGTAAATGGCCACCATGCCAATAGGTCTTTCTCATTTTTCACTTTTCCTGAACTTTCTTATACTATTTCATCATGTATAGATGGTTCTCAAAGTTCTAGGAAAAATGAGGAAGTTTCAGTTCTGCTAAAATATTCTTCTTCACACCCATCTTTCTTATTTCTGTACATAATATATAATTAATCTCAGTCATCTGCACTATGGTTTGAGTGTCCCCTCCAAAACTCATGTTGAAATTTAATTGTTATTGTAACAGTGTTAACAGGTGAAGCCTTTAAAGGGTGTGGTTAGGCCATGAGGGCTCTGCTCTCATCAAGGATTAATGCCATTATCACCAGAGTGGGCTCCTGAGAAAAGGATGAATTTGGCAGGATATCCTGTTTCACATGCTCACTTGCCCTCCCACCATGCTATGACCCAGCACAAAGGCATTCACCAAATGCCTGCACCATGCTCTTGGACTTCTCAGCCTCCAGAACTGTGACCCAAATAAACTTCTATTATTTATAAATTACCCAGTCTGTGGTATTCTGTTATAACAGCAGAAAACAAATTACAAGACCCTGGCACAAAAGCTCAAATTTGACTATTTCTTTTAAATCCAATAGCAAAAGCATATATCAAGCCAATCAATTCTTCCCTTGGACTGTTTCTCAAATAATCCTTTCTTACTATTTCTTCCCCCACATCAACAGCAAACATTTTCAACCCATACAGAATTTCCCACTGAGTCAGGAAAAGCCTCTGTCTTGCTCAACTGAGACCTTTTAAAACCTGCTATTAATGGATCAAAGCTGGCCCTCGAATTTAAACTGCTTTAGGCCTCCAATCTTTCCTCATGCCAACCCATGCTGCATGTTAATACCAGGTTAAAGTTTCAAAAGGCATTTATCAGGTCACCATCTTGGCAAGCCACTAAACACAGCAACTCTAAATCCCTTACTGAATACTGAACATCCTTCACAATCTGTCAACAGCGTGTCTTTCACATTAAACCTCTAACTATTTCTTTCACAAATCATCTACTTTGACCTGTCAGGTGTACTTGCTCTTTTCCAAAACAGCTTAAAGTCTTTTTAATCCTTGATCATACCTCTATACTTTCCCTCTTGTATCTTTTAGAATTTTAATTATCAAAGATGCAGCTTCAAGTCCCAATTTTTCTATAAAGCAGTCCTCCCTCCTCCGAAAAAAAAGCATACTTATCCTTTAGACCACTCATTTGACATTTTGCCAAACACTGAATCCTATTACACATTTATGTGTTGTCTCCACAACTAGACTGTAAATTTGAGATATATTGCCATACTTTTCACATTGAACCTCTAAGAAGCTAACAGAAAATAATAATTTTATCTTTAATGTCATAAAATAAAAAGACTTCCCTAAGTCATTTCCATGAGAATAACTCAGATGAGAGAATATTATAATGGATCCACTCTCCTAAAGACAAAATAACTGCTTAAAAGTTTTTAAACTTAGGTTTTGAGAGACATAAGAGATGTCTGTACAATACAACTACCTCATACTGAAGAGCCTTCATCCATGTATTAGATAGAGCTGCTGAGTGGTGGTATTCTCAATATTAAACTTACAGCATTCTTAAAAGTTCTATAAGAATTAAATTCTGTGAAAATATCACTAAAGAAATGAAAACCTGTCTCTATAAACTACAAGTACAGGAATTCATACAACACTCCTTCAAACAGAAATAACTTTGTATCTTAGGGGGAAATGTACAGACTATGTTCAACAACAGTCTGTACCCTAGAGGGAAAACTGAGAGAGGAGGATTTAGTTGTTGCAGAAGAAACATTCCAGCAGCAGCAACAGTTCTGTCTTTTCAAAAATGCACTTAAAAAAGCAGTTGGGTTACAACGTAATAACAACTGCATTGCTAATCAATGTGGGCCCTTGACAAAGACAGGGTCACCAGAATGAGTTCAGAAGACACACAACAAAGAGCTTTCATTTTGTATTGCAAAAGAATCCTATTACTCTGATACTTACTGTCAGCTGATGAATTGAGTTCTGTCTTAATCTTCGATTTTTCAAGATCTTCTTTATATTCTTTCTTGAGCAATTTTACTATCTTTTTGCTATAACTTGATTTCTTCACTTTGAAAACTTCTTCATTTTCTTGAAAAAGAAATTAAATGAACCATTTTCAGAAATAATTTTCCCTTTTTCACATGATCTTATGGGCCACTGAGATAAATTCTTCTAACTATGTACTCATGTACTGAAATCATCACATAATTTGAAGTCATTTCACATATGCCACAGACTCTCAAAAACTAAAGTCAACTTAATAAATTAATCTGCAGCAATAAGATTTTGAGACTTTTAAAAAAAGTAAATGTCACTTCACAGAATTTTCCATTTCTTACTGCTTTCTTTAAAACCATCTACTTTAGGAGAAAAAAAAGTCATTCAGAATGTTTCTGAAAAATCAAATCACCAAATTACTAAGGAATCTAAAAATACCTACAATCAAGAGGTGCTGTCAAGTCTTAGTAACTCTACATCCACCGCAAGCTGACAGTTATTTCAAAACTAAACTGAGAGCAAATTACTTTTCAAAAATAAGTTTTGGTGATATATTCATCCTCTTTGATTTGAAAATGTAAAAACCCAAGCGCAAAACACTTTACAAAAATAGCCCATACTTCTCAAAAACAAAAGTCTGCCTGTACTCCTTTCAAACTAAAAAAAAAAAAAACAACAGAAAGGCCAAAGACAAACTGCCTACCTTGCTGGAAACATCTCGAATCAAGGTGGAAGTAAGATTTCCAAACCCCTTAATTTCTTTTGTCATAACACAGAATTAATTGTGTTACACACTCAACTGTTCGGGAAGTAAAAAGATGTAAAGCTCATTTAAGATCAGAAATCTAAATCCACTGCAGCCTGGCCTCTCACAGGAATTGGAGAAATTGCTTTGCTTTCCTATTACACCATCTCTTTTCACTGTAACCCAATGCGAAAGCCGGACATCTGCCTCGACTATTTACTTTTACAGCGAAAATGAGGCTCGGCGATTGCAAGGGACTGGCCCAAGGTCACTAGGAATCAAAGCTGCAACTCCAGACTTCTGTTCCCAGGCCTAGCACCCCTTTTTACAAACCCGGCCTTCCCGGTCAAGGATGCCTGGACAGAGCATCCAAGAGGCGTGGGCACAGTGACCTGCAGAGGGCTCAGAGCAGTTAGGGGACCCAAATCAAGTTCTCTCTGAAACACACCCGGCAGGAAAGAGGCAGAATAAGGAACACTAAATTTCCACTTAGAAAATTCAGAATGACTGATTTGAGCTCTGGCCCCTCGGAGTAGAAAGTGCACAGGAAGACGATGAGGAGGCGGCGGTTGTTAAGAAAAGGCTGGTGGCAGCGCGGGAACGCGTCCTCTGCCGGAGCAGAAGGCCGGAGGCGGGGAAAGATTCGCAGCAGGTCGGTTGGCAAGGGGCTCCGTTCCGGGGCTCGGGGGCTGGGCGTCCAGGGAATGCGAGGACTTGGGGTGGGGGTCTGGAGTAGGGATGCGGAGGTCTAGGGGTGCCAGAAATGCAGTGGTTACCTTCCTCCTCGTCCTGGAAGCTGAGCAGGCTGGCCCGGGGCACCTCTTTGTTCTCGCGAGGCCTCTTGCGCGGCTTCAGCCCGTTGCCCGGCTCCGCGCCGCCGGGGAAGCCGCCCCCTGCCTCAGCCCCAAGACCTGGGGTCAGCGCTGAAGGCGGCGGCAACCCCGGGCCCAGCAGCGCCTCCCCCCCGGGGGCCCTGTCGCCGCCGCCGGGGCCCTGCTCTTCGCCAGTGCCCGGCGGCAACAACGGCGGCGGCTCCTGCTCCTCTTCGCGCTCCCGCTCCTCTTCCTCGGAATCGTTCCGCTTGCGCACGTTCACTCGCCGGGCCTTTCGGAACATCCCGACGGCCCGCACCGCTGTCGCACACCAGCTCTCCCACACGGCGGCCCCGGCAGCGCCGAGCTTGCTACGGCGCACGCGCGCTTTCCAGAGCGCTAGCCAGGTTGTGCCTTCCCTCTGCCTACGGCGCACCAGCGAGTACGCATGCGCTTGCGCTCCCACGCGCTCTCTATGCTTGGAGAGAGAAAAAGAGAGGGAGATCGGCCCACGCCTCTCGCGAGAACGTCTACTCTTTGCAGCGTCCTCTATGGGCGTGGAGGACTACTGGCACGGAACTCCGGTGTCGTTCGACTGGTCACAAAGAGGATCATAGAGATGAAAAGAATGAGAGGTCTCTGTCGTTCCCCGGTCGGTGCTGCTGCAGTGCGTCTTCCGCACTTACGCGGAGTGGTCACGAGAGGAAAGATCCCTCCAAGCGCTCGACTGGACAAATAGAGGAGGAGGAGGGAGGAGCCAGAAGGAGAAACCGGGTTTGGGGAGGGAAAGTGTGGTCTACGGGTGGAATATTTGCCTGTCAAATCCGTGACTTGAGGTGTGATTAGTAATACAAATCATTATTAATTATTACTAATAATTATTAGTAACTCTATTGAGCAATACTTCCTATTTCTACAGCTTTATAGCTACAGAGCTCTTTCAAAGACATTGAATTTCAGTTATGATAAAGTGTTATCTGGCGTAATGCCCCCGCCCCGGCACGGCCCCCCCTTACAAGGAAAGCAAAAGTGTTTTAATGTCTTCAAAAGAATGCCAAGTTTGTTAGCAAGTCTATGACTAAGTACTTTGCGAAGCATATTGAATTTCAGAAACAAACGGAAGGAAAATTGACTTGGTATGGGGATGGTTGTGACAGTTTTCAGTCTTCCGTCAGAAAGGGACAGACTTATCTGGCAAGACCTTATGGTGTGATTGCCTCCGAGGCTGAATTCAACGTGCGTTCCCGTTTTCATCACCAAACTTGGAGTTTTTCCTTCCGGTGCTTACGTATATATGTGAATTTATTTTCGTGTTTCAAAATTTAAAAGATATTCAGTATTGTGAAAAAAGTCCACCCAACATCAAAAGTTTTCCAGTTCACCTCCTCGGCGGCAATGTTAACAGTTTCTCATGATCCTCCAGAGATATTCTATGACCATAAAAGTAAATAAATATGCATATTTTAACGAATTCTCCTTTTTAAATAGATGGCGGGTAAATGTGTAAACAGTGCATTTGTAGCCTAACATAAATTAGACATAGGTCCACATATGTACATTTTTTTTTACCCAGCTGAGTAGTGATCCATTGTTGAAATTTACCATAATTTATTTAACCAGCCCTATAAAAATGGATATTTAGCTAATTTCCAGACTTAACTATAATATGCAGTGCTACAATAAAAAGCTTTGGAAAATTGTGACATCTGTAGGATGAACTAGAATTGAATTGCTGGAACCCAATATGTATGCATTTGTGACTTTGCTGATTCTAAATTGCTCTTTATAGAAGTTGTGCAATTTGTACTCCTACGAGCAAACATTAGCATACCTGTTTGCCCAGTGAAATTGTCAAAATTTCAGTGAGATTTAAATTCCAAGGCGAAGCAGAAGATCCCAAGCCCTCCAAGAATTTCTATCTCATACACATTTGCCTCTTTTCTCTTATTTTCTTTGATTGAATTTGAGATCAGTCCACCCAGGACCGAGTTTTGGAGCTAAAAGCATCCTGTGTAGCATTTTCTTCCAGTTAATAAAAAAAAATAATAACATCTGGCTTCCATTCAGTAATGTGAGTACATTACTCTCAGTTCTTATATTCTGTCTGTTCAGCATTGGTTTAAGTTCTGATTCCAGCAGAATGTTTCATTGGTGAAATTGGACTCCCATTTCTAATCACAGAAGATTCAAATTGCGCCTGGTCAGCCTTCAGACACCTGAGCCAAGAGACAGATTTGCAGTAAAATGACAAGGGTAGAGGTAGCAAAGGTAAAGTCCAGAAGCAAAATATGTTAATATGTTGGCCTGAAACTTCAAAAAGATCTCCCACTGTAAAAGTGACTGTGTATGGATAGAGAGAAGAGCACCTGTCATTTTTAAGTGAGCCAAAATACAGTTATGCATCATTTAATGACAGGAGCATGTTCTGAGAAATGAGTTGTTAGATAATTTCATCATTGGGGGATTGTCATAGAGTGCACTTATACAAACCTAGATGGTATGGCCTACTACTCACCTAGGTTATATGGTGTAGTCCAGTCCTCCTGAGCTACAAACCTATCCAGCATGTTACTGTACTGTTGACAATGGTAAGTATTTGTGTATCTACATACCTAAACAGAAAAGTTACAGTAAAAATATAATATAAAATACAAAAAATGGTACACCTGTATAGGGCACTTACAGTGAATAGGGCTTACAATGAATAGGGCTTGCAGGATTGGAAGTTGCTCTGGGTGAGTCAGTGAGTGAGTGGTGAGTAGACGTGAAGGCCTAGGACATTACTGTACACTACTGTACACACTACTGTAGATTTTGTAAACACTGTACACTTGGGCTACATCAATTTTTTTAATATTTATTTTCAATAATAAATTAAACTTAGCTTACTGTAACTTTTTTGCTTTATAAATTTTTTAAACTTATAATAACACAGCTTAAAACACAAGCACATTTATAGCTGTACAAAAATATTTTCTTTATACCCTTATTCTGTAAGCATTTTACTATTTTCAAATTTTTCACTTATTTATTTTTTTTTTACTTTTTAAATTTTTTAATAAAATACTAAGACACCAACACACACATTAGCCTAGGCCTGCACAGGGTCAGGATCATCAGTCTCAGTGTCTCTCACCTCCACATCTTGTCCCACTGGAAGGTCTTCAAGGGCAGTAACATGCAGGGAGCTGTCACCTCCTGTGGTAAAAATGCCTTCTTTTGGTATACCTCCTGAAAGATCTGCCTGAGGCTGTCTTATAGTTAACTTTTTTTTTAGGTCGGAGTAAACTTGAAAATGATAAAAAGTATACTAAATACATAAATCAGTAACAGTCATTTATTGTCATTATCAAGTATTATGCACTATACATAATTGTATGTGCTATACTTTTATATTACTGACAGCACAGGTTTGTTTACACTAGCATCAACACACACACACTCGAGTAATCTGTTGCGTATGACATTACGATGGCTATGTTGTCACTAAGTGATAGGAATTTTTCAGCTCCATTATAACCTTATGGGACTACCATCATAAATGCAGTTTGTTGTTGACCAAAACATTGTTTTGCAGTAATCCGGTACAACATAGGTATTTGTAACTTCTCCTGTCTACCTATTTAGATAACGAAAGGGCAAAGTTAAACATGTAGAAGTTATTTTGCTGCCCAAACAAGCCAAAGGTCCTTTTACCAGAGGTTGTAGACATTGTGAAAATTAAATTCCTGAAATTGAATAGCTGCTTTAATTGCCTCTCAGCCAGTATATTATCAGAAATTAATTATTTGATAAAGTACTCCTGTGCTTTGAGTATTAAAACGACTAGTTTGTTTATTAATATAGTATTATCATCACCATTTAATATTGGAATGTCTTTAGTATTTGAGAAGACAGATGTTACATCACCCATTTTGTCTGAATCAACAAATTCTTTTTAAAAAGTCATGTTTCTAAGCAATAATTCTGATTAGTTCTTTTCCCAATAAATTGTGGTTGCACATGATTAATTGATGTACAAAATAGGATAAAATAAGCAAACCAGTTTTGTTTGCTGATTCAGTTTTAGACCCTGTAGTCTAGAACAATGGATGCCAAACGCAGGTCTGTGAACCTGTGAAAAGTTTTCCTAGGTCAGCTGCCAAAAGAGAAGATTAAGGATAGTCTATTTGTGTAGAGTAGCCACATGCCCTTTCTTGGAAAAAAATGGTCTATTATTCTGAGATTATATCTGTCTTTTTCTTTCATGTTAAAATGAGAAAAATCTCTTCTGCAAATGATGATAATATATGGTAGTGTGCGTGTTTGTTTTCATGCCCTTATTTAGCAAATAAAAAGCAGTGAATGCTGTAAGTTTATTCCAATTTTTTATTTTATCTTTTAAAAACTGCTGACAGGTGAAGTCTAATTGTCTAGAAATCCTGATCTAGGAATTTTCTCTTTTTATCCCCCTAAAGCTACAAATCTGGACATCTCCATTCTATTCTGGAAAAAAACCTGAAGAAATCTATTTATTAATTTTTTTAGACCTTACCTTAATGAAGGCAGTTCTGCATTAACTTAAAGTAGAATGTAAGCTTCATGGGTGTGCAAAGTTCATGTGTTGGAAACTTAATCCCCAAAGCAACGGTGTGGAGAGGTGAGCCTTTTAAGAGGTGATTAGGTCATGAGGGCTCTGCCCTCACGAATGGATTAATGATGTTATCTCCCGATTGGTGGGTTAGTTATCTAGGGATTGGATTTCTGATCAAACGGATGAGTCACGCCCCTTTTTCACGTGATCTCTCGAGCTCTTCTGCCCTTCCACCTAAAGTTATGGGGTGATGCAACAAGAAAGCCCCCATCAGATACTTGACCTTGGACTTCCCAGCCTCCAGAACTGTAAGAAATTTCTGTTCTTTATAAATTGCCCAGTCTGTGGCATTCTGTTATAGCAACACAAAACCTACTAAGACAATAAGGAAGAGACTTTTATATTTTATTCAGTGCTGTCTTCACAGTACCTTGAATAGCACTTAGCATACAATAGATACTTAATAGTTTTTAACTGAATAGTATTGGACATTATGTGTTTAATTGGTGATAAGTGTTCTAACCTATGTTGATATAAATAAACATTTGCCACATCTTATATCCCTTTATTCCGAAAACATGATCTCAATGTGTTTGTTATAAATTCCCAAGGTAGATTAGTTCTTAAAGTGGTAGTAGACACTTCCCCTCCACCTTTGAGAACTGCCTCCTCTAGAGATTAGAGCAGGGGTCCTCGAACTTTTTAAACAGGGGGGCAGTTCACTGTCCCTCAGACCATTGGAGGGCTGTTGGAGAGTGCGGCGCACATTCCACACATGTGCACTGTGGACTCGGGACCAGTCGGCTGCTAAGCAGGACAGGCAGCAGCAAAAACACCTGGCGGGCCAGATAAATGTCCTCAGCAGGCCACATGTGGCCTTGGGCCATAGTTTGAGGATGCCTGGATTAGAGCATCCCCACCCAGGAAGGTAGGAGGCCAAGTTGCACTGTACTCACTGGGCCAATCAGATTTTCCCAAGATTTGGCACTTGGGACAATGAGTCCCTGCTTATGC